CATGATTCATTCGATTTGTAACTAGACATGTTTTGTAAAAAATTTAATTGCAAACATTTTTTTCCTCTTCGATTTTCGCCTAAAATCAACTCTTGAAAAGATACATAATTAAATAGGAAGAAAAATATGACATTTTTCGAATTTTTTTAATATATTGTGCCGCCAAAAGTTAAGCCCACGTTTTTTTTATGCGCATAGAAAAATTTTCATTTCTAGTGATATTTGAAAGACAAAAAGCCAAAAATCTCCGTGGATATACGATTCACCCAAACCAAAACAGATACCGCCTGGTCTAAAAATACAATCAATGAATTCAAAATTTTTGTAAAGCGTACGTATTTTCTAAATAATCACATGATTCACTTGTACATCCAAAGATTAAAGAAGTTACTACAGTAACTGGATTTCAAAAGCTGTTTCCAAGCTGTAATTAAAAGCACGTACTTCAGTACCAGTACATAATAGTTGTTGAATTATTGTTAACAGATGCAACTGGAGTAAGCCAGTATACGTATCACAAATATGTCGATCTCACAACAATTTGATATTATGGGATGTATTCACCTGTTGCAAAGCAGCAGTGCTAGCAGAACATGAAATTGAGCTTCCCAAGAAAGAGACGCACTTGAAATTTCTAGACACACTGTGGACTACAGAAGGAGGATTGTACGTATTAGACGTCAAAGGAAGCATTTATAACGTGAGTAATCACATCAGTTAATTTTATATTTCAATTTGTTTCCATTTATTTGAAATTTGGTGAAAACTTATCAAAGTAAAATCTGATCTTCTTAACAGATACTGGTAGCAATAAATTTGACAGATTATTTCAGATGGTGAACGAGACGTATTTGGAAAAGGTAATAGAAGAAAAGCTGGAAGGAAACGCTCCTACTTCTTTCTGTTGGTATAAAGGAGGCCTTGCTGTGTTCGGACCAAACAATGAAATTCGAGTTAGTATTAATTACATCCGTAGTTCATTTTACCTGTTTCTTACACGTTCCTTTGGTTTTCAGCACTACAAAAAATCTGGCTTGTGGGAGCTTGACTGGAGGATTCCATTAGAGAAAAGTTTAAAATTTATGGCATCTAACAAATCTGATTACATAATAGCTGTGACAGAAGATGAAAATATTGTCAAGTTGAGCAATACAGAAGAGATGGTTTACTTGAAGAATAATGAAAATCTGTTTAGTGATATTTGCATGATATATCCGGCAGGGAAGTATTTTGTGGGACTGCGACAGAACGGAATTTTGAGTCTCTACCAGACTAGCAATGGAGACTTGGTAAAGAACTGCTGTTACTTATAGTATGTCCAGGAAAACTGAAGTCATATAGCAACCACGAGCTACTCTTGGTAAAAACAATTGAATTTATGTCAACTTAGTCCGAAACTGTTTCGTTTAAAACAGGTGTTAAAGTTTTACTTTTGAAATGGTTTTTCTTTAGCATCTGCCAACCGACATCAGGCACCTACATCAAATTTGGTACACCTGATAATGGCATGGGAATCAATAAAAATAATCTTCAAACATTTTATTTCCTACATCAGCGGCGTACAAAAGGAAGTTTACGTATTTTACCCTCGTTACCTTTTTTTTGGTCTTTTAAGAAACATAACTGAATTTCTGATTTATCTGTAGATTTTTCACGAAAAATACCTCTAGTCAGTTTATTTTAAATTTGCTACATCTTAAGTAAGAAGAGGAGATACAAGTCTGCTATAATTGACCCTCATCTCCAATATTTATTTATTTTGCAAACCTCATGTCTAAGGTAAAGAAGAAAACAAAAAAAAATAAATCTGGTATTTTATGCCCCTATTTTTTCACAACCAAGCTTTCTTTTTCTACTCGAAGTCTATCAGCTTTAAGAAAAACTGACAAAACTAATTTTTCGTGCAAAATTGACATATAGATGGAGGGATATTTTCAAAACGAGGGGGTAAATAAGAAGCATTTTTGGACTAAGGTAAGCTGACTTAAACTGAATTGTTTTATCTTAGAAATATGTGGTTGCTGCATGTTCCCTGGAATACTCTTTCTATCTAGTTAAAAATGGAAATATCTTTTCAATTTTTCAAGGATTAGAAATTATAGATGGAAAAAGTTATTGACTTCTTTACCTTCATCCTAAGTGGCCCGTGGTTAAACAAAAAAAAAAGTGGGCTTGGCTGTAGACCAGACCAGTATAGTATTTTTCGAAAACAAAAAAAAACTCAAGTCTGTTTGAAGGGTTTCTAAAAGAATTTCTCGATGTCGGGATCAAAACAAGAACCGATCCGGGAATTGTGACTTTAGATTCGGATTCAGCAGCTGAAAGTACTATGGGATTTACTAGTCTAAACGGCACAGCCCACTTTTTTCTGTGGCGCGGTGTTACGTTACTCAAAAAATAAAGTCAGAGGAATGGCAGAAGAATGGCTTAAGATAAAGAAAAGCTTCGTAGTTTTTTTCTTTGTCATTGCCTTTGTCTTTTACTACAAATGTATTTACAGTTATCAGTCTTCTCGTGCATTAATTTATTCTGTTATTGTATATTTTGAATGTGCCATCAAAGACTATAAAGTATAAGTATCCTTATTTCAGATTAACCAAATGGAATTGAAATATAAAGTATGTGCCATTGCGGAAAATCCTGATTTTCCGTATGTTGCTGTGGGTTACGATAATGGACTTTTGGAGTTAATTTCTGTATTTAATCCAGAAAAACTGACAATAATGACTTCATTTAACTTGACAAAGAATCCTATAGGAACCATAAAATTTTTTGAAGTAGGGCGTGTTATTATTGCGGGTTTTCTAGATATTGGTGAATTCTTTTTAATTGAGGTAAGTGTAATCAAATTAATTCCCAGACGTTCTTTGAGATGTCCCAAACTCAAATATGGAAAAATTACAAAAATCAGAACATATCTACCCAAAATATTGAAGGTGAAAATTTTTTGCAAATATCTCGTGTTCTATGCATTAGACATCCATCAGGTGAGAGTTGTTGAGAATTTAATTATGTGCAAGATTGGTCCTTTGTATTTTTTCTCGAAACTCAGGCCTTTTCAAGGTCAAAGTTTCCAAAAAACAAGGTTTTTCACGAATATTTCTTCGATAGACCTGAAATATATCGAAAAGGGGGAGGTTTCGGAAAAAATTGCAAGGGACCAATCTTGTAGATAATTAAATTTCGTGCAACTTTCACATGACTTTAAGGATGTCCGATGATTAGAACGCGATATATTTGCAAAACACTTTGACTTTCAATATCTTGTGATTTTTGTGATTTTTGCGGATTTGGGTTTGGGACACCTCAAAGAACGTCTGTGCAAAAATTCAGCTTAGAGTGAATTTTGTCGAGGTTTCCTCCTTTTTTCGTTTACTTTCCTTGGGCTCTATAAAAAAATATATCACTTGGCCCTCAAATTCTAAATTCCAATTTGTACCATATGCCTTAATGTAAATTTTTATAATGGAAAACAAGTTTTAAGAAGTCACTACTGATCGGAATGAAGTAGTTTAAATTTAACCAATGACACTTTTAGGGAATTCCGGGAACGCAAATGAAGATAGTAACTTGCATCAACACTAACTGTCAGATCGTGGACTACATGTTAGTGGCCTCCAGAAATTGCCACCGGCTGTTTGTTATTCCTGTCACCGAAAAATATTTGGCAGGAGACAAAATAATCAGGTATTGCATCGTTACCGCAGACCACATCACTGTAAAGGAGTACAAGCTTGAGGATAAAGAATTCCTCTATCACAGACTAGTCCCTACGAACAAATTTAACAGGGACAAGTTTATTTACGCATTACCTTTCAATTCCAGGAATATACACGAATTAGAACTGAAAAGAGGGGTGGGTGAAACCTATTTATTCTGTATAAAACTTTTATTTCTATTGGCATCATTTTTTTATAGGACGATGTGGCTCATCTGCATTCCGAAATAAAAACCGGCCACCTTCTACGAAAATACGACTTACATTTGACGAAATTTCATGCCGTAACGTGGGGCTATGATGGTTTCGTCATTGTCAGAAACAGCACTTTTAAAGAAGAAGTTGGAATGGCCTTGCCCAATCACAGGTACCTAGGTGGCGTCAGGAAGGCGTGCGTACATCCCCTTGGAAAATACATTCTATCTTTAGGAAGAGACAATGTTGTGGTTTGTACGAAACTGCAGAAAAACGTAATCGACGTTGACCAGAAGTATGCAATTGAGGAGCAAATGAACTCAACGAAATTCGCGTTGATGTTTAAGAGGCCTACGATAGGATTCAAACCAGATCGTAAGTGAAACAGAACCAATACAGGCTGTTTATAAGTAAGCGCGAAAAAATTAGGGAGGGATTTCCTCTTTGAAAATTAAATGGATACAGATTGTGATCTGCATGTGAATATTAAAATGAACATTTTTTTATTGCCTACTTTTTGTTTTTCTGTGATTTCTAAATTTGGCCGCACCATGTCGATATTTTCCACTTGTTCTCGTGCGCAGTACATAAGTAGCCTTACATATAAAGGATGTCCCAAAATTTACGCAAGAAGTAATTTTCATAGAAAACACAGGTTTTTATTTAAAAATTGTAAATATTTTATTGATTCATAAAGTATACATTATAAAGTTAACTATGGAATAGCATATCATATAAATGGCCTCCAATCCTTTGCTGGCACACACACACTCTTTTGTCGAAATTTTCCATGACTGTCTTGCATAAGTGGGGTTGAATTTCGTTGCTATAGCTCTCAGTTTCCTTATTCAACGCGTGGGTGGCCGTGGGCTTGTTGGCATAAACCCTAGACCTTAAAAAATCTCAAAAAAAGTCAGCGTAAATTGAATGATCTGGATGGTCAATTCTGATCAACCACATGTCGTCTACATCCATATGCAGGGTGTCCCGAAATTTATGCAACAATTATTTGGTCACAGATTCTTAGGACAAATTTAGGGGACCCCGTAGTTTTTATTTTTGCCAAGTGGCCCCCTCTTTCGAAGTTACAGCCCCCTGAAGTCCGCCTCTAAGAATAATCTTTTTTTATATCTCTGAACCCTGTTGTACGAGAATCACTAAATTTGGTAGGTACACAGGGGTTTTATGACATGTGGAATCTGATGGTGCAACGTTTTTTGGCGGGGAACCCCCTTAAGACAATTTTTCGTGGGCTCCCTTGTTTTTGGACCCAAAAAAATTTGGTCGCATATTTAAATTTCTTAAAAATTATCAGTCCCCTAGAAAGCCATTAAATTTGGAAAATTTTTGTCTGTTTATACTTTTTTCGTGAAGCGCAATGTTTTCGAGAAAAATGTCAAAATGTGATCGAATGCATATCGTGATTCCCCATTTTCCTCTAAAACATTGCGTTTTACGAAACAAATATCAAGGGACAAAAAAGTTTCTAAATTCAATGGCTTTCTAGCTAACTAATAATTAAAAAAAATCAAATTTGCGACCAAATTTTTCTGATTCCAAAGACAAGGGAACCCACGAAAAAGTGTCTTAAGGGGGTTTCTCGCAAAAAAAGCGTAGCACTGCGAGATTCCACATGTCATAAAACCCCTGTGTACCAAATTTAGTGATTCTCGTACAACATGGTTTTGAGATATAAAAAAGACTTCTTAGGGGCATATTTCAGGGGGCTGTAACTTCGAAAGTGGGGGCCAGTTGGCAAAAAGACAAAAATAAGAGTCCCCTAAATTTGTCTTTAGAATCTATGACCAAATTTTGTTGCATGAATTTCGGGACGCCCTGTATTTTGGACAGATTGGATTATCGTGTTACCACCATTAACTTTATTGCCTGATCAACAGCATTTTCGAAGAAAAGTGATCCAGTGATGCCTCCAGCTCAAAATGAGCACCAAACAGTGACGCAATATGGAATCATTTGTTTCTCAACAATCACTCGTGGAGTTTTTGAACTCCAAATGGGATAATTTTATCGATTAACGAAGCTATCAAGATGGAATTGAGCTTCATCGCTGAAGATGATTTTGTTCCCAAAATCAGCATCCACTTGTTCCATAATCCATTCAACGAACTCTCTTCCCTCTGCGTAGTCGGCAGGCTTCAGTTCTTGAGTCAATTTACCATTGTAAGCATTCAGATGAAAATCTTTCGTGAGAATATGCTGTAAAGAGCTTTTCGAAATTTCCAATTTTTGACCACGGTACCGAATTGATGTTGCTCTCAGCAACACTCTCATGAACTGCTTCGGTGTTTTGTGTTGAACGGCATGTTGAAGGACGGCCAAAGTGTTTAAGATGCTAATTGATCCAGTATCCCTGAATTTTTCAATTAATCTCTTCACAGTTGATGAAGTTAAATCACTTTTCCAACCATTTTTTCTACGAACTGTAGCTGTCAGACCTACATTATTTTTAAAATATCGCTCAACAATGAAAACGCGTTGTTCTTCTGTTCAGCTGGCACGCTGTCTTCCTTTTTTCGTTGGCAACACTGTACCGCGCAAATGGCGCAAATCTTTTGTGAATTTTGGGACACACGATAGTATGATTACAATAATTATAGTACTGTTAATTTCATAACCTAAGCTACATAAAAGTTCGAAAACTTTACATTAAATTAAATTTGTTTTAAACAATTCTAAAGTTGTCTAAAACAGATTTTTAAATTACCATATCGACGATAAAAACAAGTTACGCAAGGAATTAGGGTAGTAGGAGTGGTTACTTCTGCCCCTTTTTGAGAGTAGGCAAATTTTCTCGATTTTTAAGAAAAAAAAACAAGACTAAATTTTTCTCTCCCCGTTTGAAGGTTCATAAATCAACAGGGAGGGAGCGAGGAGATTTTTTACATGAAAGACCCCCTTAGTAATCAACGAGGAATCATCTTCTTACTTTATTTGCACTTATATGTACACCCTGTATATTTTTCTGTTATCTATAAGTATTTATTTTCAAGAACAATTCAAAAACATGACATGGTTGGAAGTCGAGCAGATATTACACAACGAAAGGGAAAAAGAAATATGCGCGGCCGAAAAGGAAGACATTCTGTTAGAATTCGGAATGATTCAGTCGCAACTGCAGGAACTGGTAACCCAGAACATAAACGGTCCCGACAATGAAAAGCTAGATATGTCGGAATTCTATCTGGACACAGCGCTTTACAACTATAAGAGAGACATCAACAAAGGGGAATGCAAGAGCACCGAAATCTACCTGAAGGCCCTGATAGAAGCCCAAGATAAAGTTTCAAAGTATCTGATGGAAAACTGCTGGCATCCCATGGAAGTTAAAACACAAATGGTATATGGTATTTTCAGCAGAACGGAGGTCACCAATTTTCCTCTACTTCCTCCAAGCCCGACTGAGGATAGACAGTTGACCTGGGTTCAGGAGCAGAGAAAAGTAGAACAGTTCCTCAAGCTCCCGGATAATTTTTCGCCTTGGATGATTATCAACAAAGAGTAAGACTTGATATTGACTTTTTTTAACCATTCACTCCTCATAACGATGAATAAGATATTCAAATGAAAAACATTAAGAACGTAACAATACATGGCTTTTACCCTTTCATGAGAGGAAATATTATTACCTTCCTCCTTGTCCAGCAACCCTGTTTTTTAACCTAAGTAATATTTACTGTTTTTAAGTTCTTATTAAATTCCTTTTTTAAAATTATCAACCAGTTATCCAAAAAATAAGGTGAATTTGTTTAAAAAATAAAAAATTTTTATGCTACCAAATCAATTTCATCGCCTTCAAAGTAATCCCCACCCGACACCATGCACAATGCCAACGTTTTTTCCAACTCTCAAAACAGTCTGAAAAGTCCTTTCCGGAATGGCCTTCAATGGTTCCATCGATTCGGCTTTTATTTCCTCGTTCGAGTCGAAGCGGTGTCCACGGAGTGGTCTTTTGAGTTTAAAGAATAGCCAGAAGTCACTCGGTGCTAAATCAGGCGAATACGGTGGTTACGGAACAATATGAGTTGAATTTTTTGCGAAATGGTCTCGAATTATCAATGCTGAAAAGTTATTATCATGATGCAAATACCAAGAGTTACCTGTCCATAATTCCGGCCTTTTGCGGCAAATAGCATCATGCAAACAACGCTTAACACCCGAATAATATTCCTTGTTAACATTTTGACCGGTTAGCCCAGTCGGGTTGTCATTTAACCGGGAAAAAATTAGGGACCACAATTTTATTATTCTAACCTTTAGATGGGGTCAATAGTAGTGTAAATTCAGAATCGCGACTGAATTCCACCCCTGCGTCAGCCGCCATCTTGAATTTAAGGAAAAATCGTTTTTGCTCAATATCTCGGCCATTTTCAACTTTACAACCAAAATGGTAAGGACTTAAGTTGTTGCAAATGCGATTTCCTACAACTTCTTTTATTACAAATTTTATCGTGCGATCGATATTTTTCAAGTTAAGGGGGAAAATAGTGACAAAGTATAATTATTGAATTATCTCGTTTGTTATTGACTTTACGACATAAATGTACATAAACAAAGTTGGAAAGAATTATATTTTCTACAATTTTGATCTCTTTGATTTTTTCGCTACTACCAACATTTAAGGTCCTACGCTTGCGGAGACGTCAGGCCTATGGAATGTTGATCCCTTGAGTTTAGTTAGGCTTGCCATAGGCGTAGGACCTTAAATTTTGGTAGTAGCGAAAAAATCAAAGAGATCAAAATTGTAGAAAATATAATTCTTTCCAACTTTGTTTATGTATATTTATGTCGTATAGTCAATAACAAACGAGATAATTCAATAATTATACTTTCCACTATTCACTATTTTCCCCCTTAACTTGAAAAATATCGATCTAAAATTTGTAATAAAAGAAATTGTAGGAAATGGCATTTGCAACACCATAAGTCCTTACTATTTTTGTTGTAAAGTTGAAAATGGCCGAGATATTCAGCAAAAACGATTTTTCCTTAAATTCAAGATGGCGGCTGACGCAGGGGTGGAATTCAGTCGCGATTCTGAATTTACACTGCTGTTGACCCCCCCCCCCCCTAAAGGTTAGAACAATAAAATTGTGGTCCCTAATTTTTTCCCGGTTAAGCCCTTTTTTTGTCTAACCCGACTGGAGTAGGTTGAATATTGCACTATGCCACAATAATTATCTTTGACTATAATCAAAGAAAACTGTCAACATGACGTTGATTTTTGAGTTACTGGCGTGGTTCACCTTTTGCACGATATTCACTCGATCGGCTGTTTTCAATGATGCATTTCATGACGTCTTGGTAGTCAGAAATCATTGTTTCACAGATGTTAACGCAAGCTGTTTTCCCAAAAAGTGGAGTTTTGGGAAAGCATTCTGCTGGGTGTGATTATGGTTATAGTACTTACGCGATTTTCTGTATCTCTCGTCAAAAGGCTGCTATAAATTCACTGAAAATTACACATAAAAACGCCTTGAGAAACATCCCATTACCTTTTCAACTAACGAATTTATGGTTAACGCTTTATCATTTTTTTTTACTCTAGTATGTAGATAAATAGGAGATACAACTAAGACAAGGAAATAATAATTTACAGTGAGTTAGAGGAATACTCCCAGCCGCTGTGTTTTAAACTAGACGACTACGAAAATTCAACCAAGCTTATGGGCACCAATATAGAAGAGACACCGTCGGCTCAAACTACAGAAACACAGGTTGCACTATCGGGCACAGCTGTGCAATTCTACATAAAAGTAAATCCTGCCCATTACGATCAGAGAGAAATAAATGCCTTCCACCAGTGCCATCTCGAGCAGATAATTTCAGAGGTAAGCAACTAAATTTAAGTGTAGAATTGGGTATTACTCGAGTACAGTACAATTCATAGATGCAAGTAATAGATACTTATTTATTTGATAGTATTCAATATGCATATTTCTCATTTTGTGTTCAGGGTTCGATACTCGGAAATAGTATATTGTAAATAATAGGGTCTTTATGAATACACAAGTGGGTATAGTCTTTCCGATCTCAATTGAAGAACCAAGAGGTTGGCAGTATGTACCAGGTTCAGTCTCTGACGCAGTAAGTCGGCATTGAAATGTTTGAAAAACTTGTTCCCATATTAATTTAGCCATACACATATACAGGTCTGCTCGAAGTGAACGTGGAAGTGGTAGAAATGTATACGCCCAGTTGAAGATTGCACACAGTACTATTTTGAGAGGGGGGTGTGCCAAAATTAAATATCTCGACTTACAGTTGAGGTAGAAAAATGGACCAGGAGTCAAATGAAAGCTTAGGTAATGTGGATTTTGGGAAATTATCATTGCAACGAATTCTTATGATCTGACCTTTAAATAACCTAATTTTCTTGTTTTAGCCAGCCAAAATTTTTTTTTATTTCTAATAAATTAACTTTATATAATTTGCCATGACAAATCCAAAATTTGTCTATCATTTTTCTAAGGGTTGAACATGCATCACAAATTCAGCCTTTTAACACAATTTTCAGCATTATAAACTGCGAAAATTGTTTATTATAATTTCATAGCTTGAAATAATAGTTAAAATTTCCAAGAAAATTACAAAAAAACGCATTTCATAGGGTAAGTAGGAAATAAGAAAAAACATGTTTTTATTATAAAAAAAAAACATTTTGTGAAATTTGAATATTTCAAGCTATAACATTATAATAAACAATTTTTGCAATTTATAATACTGAAAATTGTTTTAAAAGGCCGACTTTGTGAAGCATGTTTCGACCATTAGAATAATGGTAGACAAAGATGACGGATTTGGATTTGTCGTACCAAATTATACAAAGTTCATTTATTAGGAAATAATATTATTTTTTTTTTTGACTGGCTAGAACAAGAAAATTCATGATGCTTTACGACCTCTAATTATAACATTTATTAATATATTTGTTATAGTATAAATACATATACTCGTATACTAAGAAAAATAGTCTCAAGCAAATTTGTCTACACTACCATCCTGCCTGAAAAAAATGAATATCGACTTTTTTGGTCACGAAAAACCCACGAATAAAATTTAGCTCAGTCGCAGTTGTCACATTTTAGGTTTACTTATAGCTATAATTAATGTAGATTATTTTATTACGTAAGAATTTCATTCCCCCTCCTCCCCNTGGACTTCTTTGTTGCGAGCTATATAAAAAATCTTGTACACAATGTTCCACCTAGTACTTGCGATGATATTGAAGGGAAAGATTAGAGATGCATCGCAAGAGTAGGTGGAACACTGTGTACAAGATTTTTTATATAACCCGAAACAAAGAAGTCCATTACGGGAGGTTTGGACACCTGACATGGACCATTGCTACCTATTCATTTATTACTAAATTTTCGATTTATATAATTTCTCACTGAATATGAAAAATGTGCAGGTGTGCCAGCTAATTGCATTCACATTTTCTCCTTATATTTAGAGACGTCATCAAGAAGAACCCAAAATAATTCAATAAAGACCTCGATAAAGACACGTGGATACTTCTTACAAAAAAATTCGACAAAAAACGAAACGGCACAAATATCTCCAATACCGTTAGAGATAGGTATAGGGAACCTATATACAGTTTGAAAGAGTTTTAAATTTCCTAACTCCCAAAGTAAAAATATACTGGGTGTCCCATTTAAAATAACCAAGTTATTGCTGTTTAAAGTTGAGAGAAGTATTCGGCAGTTTTTTGAACACCCTGTATAATACTAAGTGACGACAAGTATAACAATTTATAACTTCAAGGATCTATAATAGACCCTCTAAAACTGCTTTCTTAAAATAATTTTTTTATTGCAAATATTAAATTTCTACCCTAAGCCTGCATTTTCACTAAAATTGAAATATCTCACAAACTGTAAGTATGCAGAACCTTTAATAAAGTTCACCTATTTTTTTATGGTGCTTTTAAAAATGCAGTAAAATTCAGGGTGTTCCATTTAAAAATACATAACTTTGATATGGTACGCTTTTCCTGGACAACCTGTATAAAATATTTTTAAAATGTAGCCGTAATCAACCTACACATACCCACCTAAACAGGTTTCTGTAACATTTGCCGTTTGGTCCCTAGCGACCGAGGCGTTACTGGTGGCTCAACCTGTATACGAAGTATTATAATTTTTTTACCTGTAGCAGAAAATTTTTTTAGGGACGCCTATGAAACTCATTAAATTTTATTGCTAGGCGTTTTTATACATGTTCAACTGACTTCGGAAAGACTATACTGATGAATATATTTTTTTCTGTAAAATGTGATGGTATAAATAAGGTACTTATCTGATTATTTTAAATCCTTGAAAATATTTCTCAGCTTATTGTCAGGGATTTTATTCCAAAAATTGAACCTTTGACATTATTTTTACTCTGATAAGTATATTAAAAAAAAAATAGTCAACAACCCTATTGTCTTATCGTTGTTACATATATATTTCTCAATTATAAGAAAATACTTAATAAAAATTCTTTAATAAAGTAATAGCTACCGGATTTTGTAGATAAAATACACAGTGAATGAGAAAATTTTAATATCTTTGCAGTAATATTTTATATGATCTATTACAATTAAATGTGAAAACAATATTTGTTAAATAGCCTCTGCGGCTTCTTTGCGACGACACAAACCTTTTAGCAAAGTGTGTGATGACGTCCAAACACATTTGTGATGGATTCTCTTGAATTACGGGTCGGATTATCTCATTTTTCAAATCATGAATAGTTCATGGATTGTTCGTGTATGCCTTACTTTTCACGTAGGTAACCCTATAGAAAGCAATCGAGGGCCGTTAAATCGCACGATCTTGTCGGCCAGTTATCATTACCGTTTCGTGAAAAAAGTCTCCCTCTAAAATGTGTTCGCAATAAATCCAGTTTCGTGAGCGGTGTGACATGCACCACCTTGTTGAAGCCACATATTGTTTACTTCCATATTATTCATGGATTAAATACTTTTTGTATTCATACCTACCCAGCTCTGCTTAACTGGAAATTAAGAGCAATATTTTCCCTTATTATACCTATTTATTCCAGCGCGACATGCTGCAATTAAAACTGACATACAACAAAGCCTTTGAAGACTTGGTTGCGGCGAAGCAAAGAGAAATGGCAGTCATAAAAGAGAGGAACGATAGACTGCGCCATATAATATCAGAACACAACTACTTCTCCGAAAACAAGGTCAGTCTGAACGTAGTCGATCCCCAGTGGTCGCAACTGGAAATACCTGAAATGATCACAAAAGTATTCGATCACGAGCTGTCCATAACTCCTTACATTTCACCAAGCGAACAAGCTATTTTGGATGCAAAAGCGGCGGAGGAAGAACGGATTCGCTTGGCCTTACTTGCTGATGATTTCAGGGAAAGAGCTCTGATGGCCATGATGAATGGGGTTTTAGAGGTGAAATGGGAGGATGAACTAAAGAAAGATGTACCAATACCGAAATGCATGGTAATAATCTTTTATAAAATCAAAATAAATAGTTTTAAGTGTCCAACTTAGTCGTTTGATGTCGAGTATTTAAATATTTATACAAATCGCTACCCATGATGGATATCCGATTTTCTGTCCATGGATATTTATCATATATCCATAAACCCAAATGAACAATACTAATTTGGATATGCGTAGGATATTCTGTTTCGAAATATACCTGGATATCTCTTTTAAATATATCTATAAGTCGTTCTTTTCTGTAGTTTAAATGAATGTTCTTATAATAAATATCGTTTTTCTTGTCTAAACGGAGTTCCAATTAATTGTCTTAATTTTAACAGACGATAGAAAACACTAAAAAAATTACCAAAATCTCCAACTTGATGTACAAAAGTTCGATTAATTAAGGAATATTGACATAACTGTGTGCATAGAATACCATAAAATACAATGTTTATCACTTTTTTGAACTTTTTTATGCTTGATTCTAAATAATAACTAACGTAATAAATTTAAAATTCGATAAAATTCATATCGAGCAAGGTGACAACGGCGCGGCGGTTAACACGAGGTACTAAGGTGTCCAACAATACGCAGTTCAGTTGGTATCTGGAATTTGACAGTCCAAGACTTGCGAGAACGAATTTTTGCAGCTGCCCATCAAATAGAGATAAATCCGAGTATTTTCGAGTGCGCGAAAAATCGGATTCGAAGGTGTCGTGCGTATGTATGTAGTGTTTTGTACTTGTGCATTTAAAAATTACTGAACTTTACTTTTTTGGTACCTAAGTACCTAAATTATTTTTAATACGTAGGATTATTTGGACGACGTGAATCTTTGGGTACTTTAATTACATATTTTTCAAATTGATTTGATTAAAAGTTCCTGTTTTAAAAGATTAATAATTACTAAAATTCGAGCTAAAATTTAAGCACAACACTATCTTATCATAATACAAAATCGATACATTTTATTTTAAAAACTGGAAAACAATTGTCTTGAAATTTATTAAATGTTTCACAATAATAGTTGTTTATATTTTTGTTATTCCGTAGGACAAGTCTGCCGCGTGCACACGTGGTGTGCAACATTGGGTTAAGCGCTGTTGTCACGTTGTGATGAAACTCCCCAATACTAATACTCGCTGTATTTTGAAAACTGTTAATCTTACGCCCTTGTAATATACAACTTACACCCTGTATGTACGAGTATGTCTATTTTATAACAACGTGGATCTATTTTGTGCAGGACCACACACTAATTACATTCTCGGTCTCAATTGAAGTCAAAATTGAAAATTACTTTGAATACGAGTTATTTTTGGCATTTGGAATAAAGTTCGATGCCACTTTTTAATGTAATTAGTGCATTTTCCCTTATACCTATGTAATTTCTAATGTATCTATTTTAGACTGATAAACAACCAGAGATGTATAACGAGGAAGACTTGCGTTCCATAAAAGACTACGAAGAGAAAGTGGCATTTCTTAATAGCGAACGAGAGAGGTACAAAAATTTACTTGACGGGGAATTTACAAAAGTCACCACCTTCTTGAGGGACTCCGTCCGGAAATTCAATCAAAAGGTCAAAGACATGGTAGACTACAAGATGCAGATATTGTCATCAATCGCTCAGGAGCATCTGATAATTAATAGGAACAGATGTATAGAGGATGAGAGAACTAACATGTTTCTGAAGAAAGAAGAACTGAAGTAAGGGTTTTACCGAAAAGTACCTATTATACTACTTTTAGAGTAATGAATTGAGTCAATCAAAATTACTTAAATTGTATACACAGTAACAAATTTTTGTAATTCCAGAAAAATAATGGCAAATACAGAACAAACCATAGCCAACTTAAAGAAAACAATTAATTTTGTCCAAGAAAATATGTCGGAATGTAGGACTAGTCTAGAGAACCTACTGTTAAAAGAAAAGATATTAGAGAAATCTTTTAAAAAGGATTTTCAGGAAGCATCGCCAGTTTTGCAGGAGCTAGCCGTCAAATATTACAAGTAAATATGTAAATGAAAAAAAATGCAGTGCATTCCAATGAAAACTGTCTATCTCCAACAACTAAGAAGATAAATGATAATTAGTAAACAAAAAATGAATATATTTTTGAATTGAGAATGAATATAGGTATCTACCTTTCAACCTTATTAGGTACCACTTAAAAATTACTATATACATACCTATACAGTGAGCTTAAAATGTTGGCTCGCTTTATTTGTTTATATTTCCTTAATTTAAAATTAAATTTCATTGGTGGAATGCATTGTATACGTGTTCAATTTACATTCAGTGAATTGATAAATTGACAAAAATTTCGTAGGAACAATGAAAATTTTTTTCAATTTGAATGTTCCTTCCGAGATAATTTTTCACGATATGAATTTGTTCTGTCAAAGTCTAGTGCCACTCGCCATACGAATATTTTCTTTTTGTTAAAAAATTCTGCATAGACCTAACCTGCCACTTTTATAAAAGAAAGGCTGCACCGATCGATTTTCTATTGTTTCTATCGTTTTAAATCAACTCCTGCAACATAGGAGTTATTTCACCTGGTGGTGCTGATTTCCAAAGCGGTGTGTCCACTTCATCACAGATGACAGGAATGGGTCCACAGATTTGTTGAATTTTGGCGTGGAATTGCTCCTAGCTGATTCCCGTATTAGTGGCGATTTCCGCGCCAGCTCACTCGTGTCCTAAGATTAGGAAAGTGGAAGCGTGTTTGGCCGCTTCCTCGTAGTGCGTCTTCAGATCGGCGACCATCATCATTACCGTGAATAAAACGATATCGAGTACTTCTGGCCTTCCAACGGCAACGTTGGCTATCATAGCTTTGCACGGGCATCAAGTGTATCATACACCAGGTGCCCAAGCTTGGTCTCTTGAAGTGCCGTTATGTCTACGTCTATCAAAGCAAGGGGCCAGTTTGTTCTTCCTCCTTCCGAATCCGTCTACATTTTAGAAGGAACCGCATTGGTTGGGGAGGAATCATATATCCCTGCAACAGAGAAGATATGTTGGCGATAAACGCAAACATCGCATATGCGTCAGAATGTTGGCTACATCAGCGACTTTTCCCCTCTTGGACGCCGCGACGACAGTCTTTATTTGCTTCGCGGCTTCTGCGATGATCTTCGTCATAGTCGTCTTGAGAGGTGATAGGTATTACTACTAAGGCTGTTATCTGTGGCTGTCGGTTTCTTGGTTACTTCAGCAGGCTCTTTGCTAACTGTCGATTTACGAGTGCTAGGGCAATCCCTGTAGCTGGCGTGATGCGGTACTATGCAATTTGTGCATTTTAGGGAGCCTCGCGTACTTTTGTGCACTCCGGGAAGTGACGGCATTCACTGCACTTTTGGTCATCGCAGTGCAGCGATTATCCGCAGTGGCATTAAGTCAGTTCGGTATTGGTCGATTGGTCGAGAGTCGAGATGCAACATCTTATCTGATCTCAGTCTCCTCATTTGGCAGGGAAAAAATGTTTTACTTCATCTGAGTCTGATGCATATGAATGAGATGGCGTTGCCTTCCCCCGTCAGTCTATATATTTTTTCTTAGAATAACTGCCGGAATTTTGTTTTTGGTGACAGCGACCTCAGCTTTGTGGTTCCTGCTGATGTCGGTACCATCTCTATGTTCTCAGGCACATGGGACGTCGGTGCTCGATTCTTGTCAGCAGGATTCCATTAACATCGGCACACTGTAGCTTGCAATAGGACACATTGATATAAACGAAAATTCGTCCTTTACGCTTTCTATCGAAGGTCATAAGTCTGCTGTGGTGCGCCGTAGAAAAATTCGGTAGTGTAAGTTGTTTTATTAATTTCTTAAATATTTAGAAACCATTTTATCAACATTCTGCATATAAAATATCATTATTTATTAATTAATCCATGAATGAAAATGCTAACAGGATGGAACAAAAAAAAATATTCTAATGGTCGTTATATAGTGAAACACTCATTGAAAATTCTAAAAATATTTTTCAGGAAGAGGCCAAAGGTGAACTTCCGACAAATAACTAGTTTTACTGTCTTGTACGAACTTGCCAAGTGCATCGTATCTCAGGAGAGATTACCCATACTCACCAGCGACTGTTTGGACTACATGAGGGCACTGGATCAGCTGGACCAGTTCGTGGGTTTACCGCCAACGGTTGATGAAAGTACTTACAGTCACATTTGCAAACATCGGAGATTGCGAATAGACTATGAAATCAGGGTAGGTAACCAAAAACAATTTTATAAAACAGAAATCTAGTAGGTGCTCGGAAACACCTTTTGTATTATTTGTAGCGGCTCACCAAAATCTAAAAATACACAGGATATCTCGAAATTATCTTGCATTATTTCACTTGCGGATTCTATGACTAGCAACAAAGAAGAGTTGTATAAATACATAGGCGAAGAAATGCCTCTTAAGACAGTTACAAGCTTTGAAAGACAAGCCCTTGGAATTTTTTTTTCCTAGATGTCTCCAAAATCATTCAAGATAAAACATTAAGATTTAGAAAGAAGTACTGTTGTTATACTGCAACTCTAATATTTAAAAAAATCTAAATTTCACTCGGGAGTGTCTGACAAAACTAAACAATTTTGCAGCGTTAACACCAAATTTTAGCCATACTTTCTAAAAAAATGAATTTGCTGCAATAACTTTATATTTTAGTTTTTGACAATCTGGTAGCGAACGCTAAGATCTATTTCAGTGACATTTTATAATAACTTATTATTTGTAGTTAGGTTTTTTTACATTTTTTCAGTCTTATTTTTAATGTTTTTATTATCCCCTAATATTTTTACAACCATTTATATACAACAATTGATAAATAGTGTTTTTAAGGAAATAGTTGGTCAAAAAATGTTCATATTCATTTTTTTTAAATATCATTATTCTTGCATGTTTGTTTTTTCCTCCTATAATATTAACTACTCATATTATTAATTATATGTTATTGTTTTCTCTAAATTCACCTAAATTTTCACACAAGTTTCATGCGTTTTTGATTGATGACGCCATCAATTCAAATGGTTTGGAATTTAGAACAGTAAATGGCAATTCCAGGGTAATTCTATGAGCACTGTACAAATTTTATAATACAATGAAAAAAAAACTGTAATATACTTTGTTCTTGTATTTAGGTAAGAGCTTATCAGGTTCAAATAACAGACAGTGAAGCGACGATAGCCACTTTCCAAAGGCGCCTCAACTTAAACAAAGAAAACTTAGTTAAATTAACAGCAGAATTGCAACAACTCAGGACAGATTATCTTCACTTGATGCATAATATTCAAATGCAGATTGTCTTAAGAAGGGGTCTAGTAGAGTTACCTCTCACAGGTGTCATCAATGACTTCCAGGATGCTATTTTAGTACCAAAGAAAGAAATCGAGGATATAAATAGACTGATATTGGTAATTTGTCATTGTTATTTTAATGAAAAAATAGCTTATCAGATCCTATAATAAAATACTGAGTTATTATAACGATTTTATGATATTAGGAAGCAGGTAATAAGAAAATTCACACCATCATGCAAAATATGGCTTTCCGGAGAAGTATAATGGTTACTGAATGGGAGCATCGCAAACTGAGATTAACGATCAATGATCTCACTGAACAACTTCAGGACATAAACAGTGTGAAGGTGAGTATCTCCTCACAATGATCCTTTCCTGGTCTGCAAGAAGTGAATGAAATTTAAATATTAAAGTAGGTACATGGTATGAATGAAAATATCTTTAAGTGTTCTCAAGTTATGGGTAACTAAATATTTAGTTTTTTTTACTTTTCCATAATTTAACTTGAAAACTATTAAAATTAGATAAGCTTTTCGTTTTACTTTTTGTTTCTTATAAAATTATTCAATTTCAAAAAAATATTTTATCAGTTAATAATAAAAATGTAGTATATATCTGCCCTAAAATATCCACAAGAAATTGAAGATAAAAGAACAAACCAAATAATACATCAAATAATTCACTCCATTTCAATTATCCAACTTCCTCTTTCTGTGCATTTTCAACCCTTTGTAACTATTTCTTATTATATGTCAGAACATTTCTATTAAAAACTAAGATATAAGGGTGGCTCCATGAATAAAACGTATACTATTTATACTTGTTCAATATGATATCTCTTTTCCGTCTTCATCTTCAAGGGACGCATAATATTTCTGGAGGATGGAAACAATAAAGAAACATAGCGTATATTCCTAGATACAGATCTGACTAATCTTACACTGCTGCAATCCTAAAAAAGCATTTTAACAAAATATGTAAAAATATAGAGTAAATACCTAAGTAGATATAAAATATGCAGAGCTTAAAAATCATAAGATTGATTTGTGTTCCAAAATAAATTTTTGATCAATATCATTTTCGTCTAGTAAGTAATAAAGTAAGACAGAAAGCAGTGGAAAGAATGTTATGTGAATATCCCTGTACCGTAACAGATAAAAATAATAAATAACAATTTCAGCTAGGTAAAGACATGCAACAGTACTTGAAAGCAAAAGCTCTGGGACGTAAAACTGAACTAGAATCATTTGAAGTAGAACTGGAACGTATCATAGCGGCTTACGAAAACCGTATTATGAGCAAAACAGAAAAATATGAAAAGCTCGAAAAGATGATTAAAACATACAAAAAGGACAATGCCAAGTTAGATAAAGATATTCACAGTCTTAACATCGATGTGTGCCATTTGAATATGACTATGAATAAGGAACTTCAAGATAAGGAACAGGATGTGCTGAAATCTAGGTAAACTTAAATAATTTTTCTAACAGAGGTTTCTCAAGTACAATATTTAACAAAAGGAAAATTACAAATTATAATTTATAAAGATATCCGATTTAATTCAAGTTTTTTAAAAAATATCTATTGCATCACGAAACATTTCAGTTTATATTAAGTTATCAAAGCTTACTTGATATTTATTTAATTTTTTATCCATGTCAAATGACACAAGTATTGGTTAGTGAGTTTATTTAAAATGTGGCTATGCCACTGAATTTTACACCTCTTCACTGCAGTTTGTATCAAGTTTCTTAAAAAAATATTCACCCGTTATTCTAAAGTTTGAATGTTTTCATCATTTTCGCTGTTCTTAAATGGAAACTGATAATTAAATGAAATAAATACAATGTTCACTAACGTTTTTGAAACCCAAGGAGCTGAGAGAAGAAGGAAGCTTTTGGACTTTGTTAAAAGTACAAAGCTACTTCCTGAATAGATTTGAACAGTGGGAGGCATAATAGGCCTGATAACACGGCAATGCTATGGGACTTAATTAGAACCTAACCGCAGGAGGGAGGAGAAGGTTGAATTTTTCTTCCACAGAAAGCTCATCTATTTTATTTGCAAATTCATTAGGTATTTAAAATATTTAGAAAAAAGTTTTTTTCAAAAAAGGGCCCAATTATTTTTTGTTAAGTATTCCACACAGTACATGAATTTTTTGAATCATAGCTTTTTACAATTAAATCCTGAGTTTTCCACTGCTATGACGAATTATGCGATGAAAGCACTCCATTCGTAGTGAACGCCATCTCATCACTAAACATGTAAAAATTACTACTTAAAGTTATGAATATTATTAAATTTGTACTGAAAAATAATAAATAAATAAACAAAAGTAACCTTCAAAATTGAAAAAAATGTTATGTGATGTTAATATGGGTTATTAGTTTTATCTTTCAGAAAAAAACTATATTTGTTGTAGGATGGAGGGCTTACTTAAAAGAAGCAGCCTGATACAGCAGATTCAGGACAATCACAGTGAAATTTTAGTTTTACAGACAGAGCTGGAATTACTCCGCTTGAAAACTTATCCAACTTTTAAATATAAATTAATTAATCTCAATTAATTACATGTTTATTATAAATATATGTTTGCTATTCTTTATGCACTGTTCATTTTCTGAAAATATTACATTTTACTAATTTAAAAAATATAAGAGAAGGTTAGACATAAATGGAGGGAAAAAATGCTTCTATTACTTGAAAGATACTTACCTGTTCTAGACTTGCACATGCCGCATAAAAGTATGGTTCAATCAATTTCATCTGATCGGTGAGATGTACAAAATAAAAAATTTGTGTATCGAAAGATGGATACTAAAGTACAATAGATACATTTCCTGCTACGCATATTTACTTGAAGATATATTTATTTATTCATTAATTCATTATTTATAACTTCTCTGCCTTCGCAGTCAAAACTATGCAAGAACGTACTATATTTGCTCTAGTAGCACTGAACTGAATGAGCTTCATGGGCCCCTCCAATTTGCCACTAGGCATCGCCTACCTTCATCGCTCAGATGAAATAAGTTGCACTGTACCATCGAACTAGAAAATGTTAACACATGAAATTTAAGGAAATTAAACAGACAATAAACATTATTTTAAAAACATCTAATATTTTATTTTACTATCATTAAAAACATAATACAAACTACTACTACTATCATTACAAACATAATAATACACGGGGATCAACATCTTGTAAGTCTATTTTTGTCTGAATTTTTTGAATCTCTCCCTAATAACAAAAATTTCTGGGTAAAGGTGAAAAAATCTGATATTTCCAGGTTTTACAAAACTAGAATTTAAATTCAGTCAAAAAAAAATGAATATTAGAGTCTGACAACAATGGAGTGTTTATCACCTTTGCAGATATTGTCACAAAATGACATGATGTAACAAAAAGCTTGCCCAGTATTGTTTTATTTTTTATATGAAATCACTATTTAACTGTCAATTTAACATTTAAATGAAAAGACTAAAATAAATTTGGCGAACAGCTTATTAATAAGAATTTAAACTAAAATCTCATACCTCTGCCCTCCTTGTATTTACTAATAGAGAGACAGAGGGGAATTACCTAAGAAGTTTTCTACAGTATAGTCTTTCCGATATCAACCAAGAGGTTGACGGTATGTACCAGGTTTGGTCGCTGACGCAGTAACTCAGCATTGAAATATTTGAAAAACTTGTTCCCATATTTATTTAGCCATACCCATATACAGGTCGATCTAAACGTGGAGATGGTAGAAATGTATACGTCCAGTTGAAGAATGCGAGCGCGGGTTAACCAAATACAAATACAGCTGCATTGGGGCAATACACACAGGGCAATAAATCTCAGCTGTTGACAAGTGGTTGACAAATTGCCCAGTAGTGCAGTGCAGCAATGCGGAATTTGGTGTGATTCAGGTAATTTTAATTTATTATAAGCACCTTCTATTAATCATTGATATTACAACTGCTAAAGGGAGAAATAATATTATTACAACATGGCATTTTGGAGACCTTTTGAAACGGAACAAAACGAAATTTAGCATCAATATAATAAAATTCTTTGAGGACATAAATAATTAAAATATGTTGCTGGCCAAATGAACATATAATAAAAATTTTCTACACATTATATACAAATTATAATTTTTTACCTTTAACAGAAAACTTGTTAAGGGACGCCTATGAAAATTTTATTGTTGGGCGTTTTTTTACATGTTCAACCGACTTCGGAAAGGCTATAACATGTCTAGTCTAGCATGTCACAAGTCAAACCAGTGGCGTAAGATTCGAATAAAACAATTTAAATCAAAGAAAAATTTATATAAGTTCTCGTACGGGGCATAACCACAAAGTAAGAGTACAAAGACTCTGATGCTCTGTGGTTTTTGTTTGTCACAAAGTTGGCAACACTGTATTCAAGGTCAATGCGTTGGGAGCAGAACGTGCTCTCCTTTGTCTTGGTAGGTTGAGAACTGTTGTAGTAGCGTAATGGAATGAGTGCTGCTATTCCGAATTCTGCCAGCTGCAAGGTAACGAGCATAATCCAGTTACCTCTTGCAAAGGGAAAAGCGCCATTCCATATTTTTTATTAAATCAAAACTCTTTATAGGGATGGTGTGATGAATCGTACTAATGTGTCCAAGTGGTGTCATGAACAAAAAGCTGGCAGAAAATGAAGGTTCATAATGAACAGTGGAGTAGGCGTCCCTCAATCGTAACTGGTGAGATGGTGAACAAGATTGAAGTAATGCTTCGTGGCAACCGTTGATTGGCTTTGGACAAGATTAACGCAGTGTTTCCACAAATCTCCTGATTCCGTGTCTGTATGAAATCATTACTGAAACACTTGGTTATAGAAAATTGTATGCGAGGTGGGTACCAAAACAGCACCATCAGCAAAAAAAAATCGTCGTTTTGACCTGAAAAATCATGGCACCAGTGTTTTGGACCATAAAGAGTTTCTCCTCATTGACTTTTGCCCCAGGGGGAAACAATTAATGTTGCACAGTACTATGAAACCCTGAAAATACTATGGAGGACGATACAGAACAAAAGAAGGGAGGTGTTGACGAAGGGAGTGTGCTTGTTGCATGACAATGCACGTCCCCACACACACACAGTCAATGCCACAAAGCAACTCTTGGATTTATCCAGTTGTAACGTGCAAATTTCTCATAAATATATTGCCGTTTCAATTTAAAAAAAATGAGTATTTTTACTTTGTGGATATGCCTCGCACAATACAGATTATCTTTTATTGTAGAGTACTATACAGTAACAAAACACTACACGTTTTTTTGATACAAACACCCCTTTGTAATTTTTTTTAATTCCATGAAATAGAGACATTCCCAGACATTTTTAGATATACAGGGTGTTTTTAAATTAAGTAGCAAAAATGGTACCAGTGAATGTAGAGCCAAAAATAAGAGGATGTAAGTAAAAATACCTTATATGAAAGTTGCACCCCTGAGGCGTTATACCCTTTTAAAGGAGGGGATTGAAATTCACATTTTAATTTTTTTCTTTAACATGAGGAATGCTAGAGATACGAAACTTGGTATGAGCATCCTACTAATAAAGAGACAACTTTTCAATATTTGTTCGATTATTGGCGTATTTTATAAAGGAGTGAAACAGTCAACCCCATTGCAATAGAAATTTCTTATATGACGCAAATTATTTATCTAAAAATCCACACGGTTAGGTAAATCAGGGTCATTCAATTCTTGTACGGGTTGATTGTGAAAAGGGTATAAAAGATTTTCATGAGCTACATTCCACACAAGACTGTGCGGAACTTGCAGTTGCCTGGTCACCTGTCTTGTGCTTGTACCACAGTCTTGTTCTAGATGTTCCAGTATAGCTTCCTCAGTTTCAACAGTTCAGACATTACGCCTTCTTCCGGCACCCTCAGGATTGGGTTGAATTTTACCAATTTCGCGAAGCCTTCTTTCCGCCGAGGCTAATGTTTGTTTATGAGGAATTGGTCGGTTTGGATATCTTTGGTGGTATAATCTTACTGCAGCGTTACTATTTTTTCTGGATTCGAAAAACACTTGGAGCATGTTGACATATTCGTCATTGATATAAATATTATTTCTCATAATTATTCTAATAATAAATTAATCAATTGGTACTAATTATTGGTTGACAGAAAGTGTCAATTTATTAATATGATAAATAACAATTTATTTGTTATGACATCCACCTACTTTATTTTTACAAATTTTTGCAATTACCCCGCAATTACCCCTTTAGTGAACGATGACACATCTAATTTTTTTACTAGAAAACTATCGGTTTTATCGAAAAATTACAAGAGGTAAAAATGTGTAATAAATCAGTTTTCCCAATAAATATTTTTAAATAAATAATTTGCTTCATATAAAAAATTTCTAATAAAATATTGCAGTGGGGTTGACTGTTTCACTCCTTTATAAAATATGCCAATGATCGAACAAATATTGAAAAACTGTCTCTTTAGTAGTAGGATGCTCATACCAAGTTTCGTGTCTCGAGCATTTCTCATGTTAAAGAAACAAATTAAAATGTGAATTTCAACCTTCCTTTAAGAGGGTATATCGCCTCAGGGGTGCAACTTTCATATAAGGTATTTTTACTTCAATCCTATTATTTTTGGCTCTACATTCACTGGTACCATTACTGCTACTTCATTTAAAAACACCCTGTAAAAAAATTCCATGATACCTTAATGTTTTCCAAATTGGTATACACATTAACCAACTTATATTTTACATCATCTTTCTTGTTTATTTATACTTTGGTCAGTTTGATACAACAGTAGTTTTTGTCTTTTTTCTAATGAGGTTTATTTGGGAAAATATGTAATTTTTTATTTACTATTATCAAATATAATAATGAATTATAATATATGGGGATCAACACCTCTAAGTCTACTTTCATTTGAATCCCTTGAATCTGTCTCTGATATATCAATTTCTGGATAAAGTTGATACTCCAAATTATCTTTTACATCATCACTCAGTATTAGCTTCAAAATATCCTTTTTCCTATGTAATTTTTTTGGAGAATAACTAGGTTTGAGGCTGTACTTACCGACAGCGATATCAAAAAACATGTTTGGAGTCACCCATTTTGAGAAAAATGGGTCTGAATTTTGAATTTCACTTAGAGAGAGTTCGAACGAATCTGAAACTCTTATCTTGACTTCGTTCCAATCTACGAATTCTTTTACATCATCTAAACATGTAAATATCTTCAAGGTTTCTTTGTAACGGTTTAGATTAAGGTTTGCACTTTTGATTAAGAACTTTTTATGCACCCCCATCTTTTTCATGAGCATAATGACGTCTAGTATGAAACCCTTTGCTTCTTCCTCTTTTTCCGATGACATCAGCAGAGGTATTTTACCTGCTTTCCAAAACACATTATAGACCAAATGAAGGGGAATATCGTCATACACATTTTCTCGAACAACCTCAAAAAAGTACGATTTGATAGGATCTCCCACTTGATGTAATGTATCATGTTTCAGGTGTATGGATTTTGTTATTGTATCTATAGTCGTAGAGAGAGTTTCCTCTATCATTATATTTAGTGGTCTGCAGATTTTACTAATTGTATATGATTCATTTTTCACAACAGTTAAGTCAACTCGACTGATAACTTGATTCCAAACGTCAAAAGCGTCATGTTTGGAATGGACATTTTTGGGAGAAACAATGTACGGACCTAGCAGGATTTCTCCTACTTTAAGAACAACATCTTTTTTCTTGAGCTTATAGTTCCCTCCGAGTTTACCGTCGATCCACCTTTCTATATATTTCATAAAATCTGTTGAAATATCAGGGTACCTGTCAAATTTTTGTTTTAACAACTGATTCAGCATCGAAGGTAAAATCCTCTGACCAGTGTACAAGAAAAGCTGAGGCAAGTGGTAACCCACATTATCCGACAGTATAAAGGAATATATATTTTCAGGATCATTGGTAACGTTTATTATTTCATTCTTTTTTAACCCAGATTTTAATTTGAGCGTACCGTCTAAGAAATTATCATCATCAGAAGTACTCCACTTATTCAATATTGCAGCCTTCAGTGGCACGGATTGAACGAAATTTGAATTAGTACTACAGGTCGTAAATATTACAAACTTTGTCTCGAGGACATCTTTTCCAGCACCTTTCAATTGAGCTAGATATTGGTACTGTTTTTCCACATGTATCTTAGCTTCCTCCAATTGCTCAATTTGTTTAAAAGCCTGTGTAATTTTTTTGCATTGTATGACATAAAGAACCTTTTTTTCTTTGTAGGTTATATATATAACCACGTCTCCGAAGACTTGCCATTCCCTATCGTTCACAGATAACTTAAAGTCTTCGACATTCTGATCCAAAGCTAAACGTAGGCTAAGATATGCCGTTAGGGAGTATATGTATGCTTTATAGTTTAAATCCTCGATTCTGTCAAGGCGGATTTTATATTTCTAAAAAATATAATTGCGCCAAATAATTCTAGAATTGTGCATTACACTTAAAAAGTATATTTTACCTGTCTGATAAAGTCAATTTGACCAATTTCATCCTGGGTGCCTAAAATAAAATAATAAGTTGGTAATATATTTACTTCTACTCAATTTGGCTCGAATTTTCAATATTAAAGAAAAAAAAAATTTGTAATGAATTAATGATAGTCATGGTATATCATGGTCATGGATAATGATAAAATATATATAGTAAGTATTGGTTAAATAAAAACAAAATTTCTTTATGAAATTATGTTCAAATTTTTCAGTCGGATAATTTTAAAAGGGCGAGTCAGATTCTTTAATGGGTCTTGAAAATAGACCAACAATAGTAACAGAAAATGTGCAGAAATAATTTACAATATATTTTTTCAATGCAAAATTAAAACTGCACAAAGCTGAAAATGTGGGCAGTGAATCTTTTGCTTTTTTAACATACAGGGTGTCCCGAAATTAGGGGGCAATATTTTTACAGGGTCTTCTATGTCGAAAAAGATTACTTTTTCTTTATATAAAAGTGGGTCCAAAAATTCTTCCTAAGGAAGTTATAGCCACTTAAAGAGCCCACATTGATGATAATGATGTTTTTTTCTAAATAACTCCAAAACAAGTTTGAGATAAATTTATGAAATTTGGAAATTTGCTTAACCTTTACGTGCTCAGTCCACTACTAAAACGAAATTTATAAATTTTTATCACATACGTTCCAATACTGGGGGGGAGGGGGGTAAAATTTACCGTAACTTTCTTTTGCTTTGACTATTTTGACTTTTGACTGAAAAGTATGAAATTTCAGAGTTTTTTAGTAAAAAAAGGTACTCTAGGTCCATATTGGTAAAAAGTTCCGTTTTTGTGTAAAATCCGTTTAAAAATAATGTTACATGTGTTAATCACCAGGAAGCGAAATAGGCCTCTTGCAGAAAAAAATATTTTAATAGTTTTTGTAGCTACACTGAATACTACAAACAATGTGTAAAGGTTTTGTTATATTAATTTATTTTTAAAAAGTTATTAGATATTAAAGTTTTAATCGGTTCGCTTCGCGCGCAAACGCCATAGACTGGGATGTCGACACGTTAACGTCATCGGTAAGTAAATGGCAAGCGCGACATATACAATAACGCGTTTCGACAGCGCAGCTGACTGCTTTGGTTATTAAATGTGTGGAGTGGTGTCAATAAGCAGTACGATACCTTATATTACATAATGGAAATTTGTGAAGTTAAACTTATAATACCTATGGCAAATCCCTCTAAACCATATAAATAGTCCAGAAAACATCTATTTCAAAAAGTCCATATTTGGGTAAATCGTATATCTACGGAGATTTTTGGCTTTTTGTCTTTCAAATATCACTAGAAATGAAAATTTTTCTATGCGCATAAAAAAAACGGGGCTTAACTTTTAGCATCACAATATATTAAAAAAATTCAAAAAAATATTTTTCTTATTTAATTTATTATTTTTAGTAAATTATTATTTGACAAAGTAAAAAAAAACTTGAAATTATTAAAGAGTAATACAATAAACTAACAGAAATAATTGAAAACTTCACTATTAATAAAACTTAATTTTATCTCAATAGTAATTTTTATAGCAAATGTTCAAAACAATTTTAATGAATATATTTTTCAGCTCAACTACAACAAACTACAACCTTCATCCTAGCCCACAGAAAGTAATCTAGAGGATTTAGGTCTAGAGATCGAGGTGGCCATGGAATGGGGCCACCTCTATCTACCTGCCTGCCAGGAAAGTGAGGCGGGGCCCCATTTTATTGATAGTGTAACGTTAAGCGTATGTTTAACGATATATCATTTTGCAGAAAGTTTGAGAATCCTTCTGCATTCAGACAAACGGTGAACTGAATTGGTCCAAATAGCTGGTCTCCTAAAATTCCTGTCCACATATTTATTGCCAATCTATTTTGAAAATTTTTATGCCATATTGTCCGTTGTTTTGTCTGACCAGAAATGGGTATTATATGAATATCTGCTAGCTCTACATTCGTAAAATGTTGCATTTTCGACTGATAACGATTCACAAAAAGTACATAACTGAAATGTCAATGCAAATGACGCCAAACGCAGGTTTTGAGCGACGACAAAAAATATTGACAATTTCGTTTTACACATGTAACATTATTTTTAAATGGATTTTATACAAAAATGGAAATAGATCAAGAGTACCTTTTTTTACTAAAAAAACTCTGAAATTTCATACTTTTCAGTCAAAAGTCATAAAAGTCAAAGCATAAAAACATTATGGTAAATTTTACCCCCCCTCGCCCTCAGTGTTGGAACGTATGTGATGAAAATTTGTAAATTTCGTTTTTGTAGCGGACAGAGCATATAAGAGTTAACCTAGTTAACAAATTTCATAAATTTATCTCAACTGGTTTCGGAGTTATTTAGAAAAACCATGATCAGAGTGGCACTTTTAAGTGACTATAACTTCATTAAATAGTTTTGGACACGTTTAAAGAAAAAGTAATCTTTTTCGACATAGAACACCCTGTAGAAATATTGCCCCCTAATTTCGGGACACCCTGTATACTTAGTCATGATAATAATTTTTTATAGAAAGGACTAGTGACCAATTTGAATATTTTGAATATAAAACACAGGAAAAATGAAAAATATAAATTGGTGTAGAAGCTTCATTTCCTCTACAGGGTGGTTCGAATTTTATGCAGAAAACTTCGAGGACAGATAGATCTCTATAAAGTAATAGAAGTTTGCCTTATAAACATAGGTGTGGAACGGCCTCCTTTTAGAGATACAAGGTGTTGAAGTTGTTAAAAAAAAAGATTATTTATTTGTTTCTTCGGAATCTATCAACTGATCTCAATAAAATTTGGTATGGATAATGTATGATAGTAGGCCTTGCATTCCCTAAAATATGAGCTCTAAAGGTTCAACCAGTGGTGTACAACTGGACAGGGGTCACCCCCTTTTTATAAAAAAAACCTACGCCACTGTATCCACTGTATTTTTTACAAGTTATTGTAACAGATTTATATTATAATGCACTAAATACATAAAAAAAGGTGACTTGAATTTTTTCCCTAAGGTTCACCATTTTCAAGTTATTCACACCAATACAATCCCCTGTGGCAGACACTTCAATCCATAATATTACAAAAATATTTATGTTTACGCTTAAAAGTAAGTGCAATTTGTAAGCACATGAACAAAATTCTTTCCACATCACCTGTGAGGTAGTGTTCCTGGTGTGTTTTAGTTTCCCCTGGAGGCCTTATCTTTACAAATAAGAACAATTTAAATAAAAATAATACTTTATTGTGAATTATTCCGAGCCATACTTTCACAGAAAATTTGTGTTGAAAAGATCTTGTCTCTTTTTGTGACCAAATACCCAGATTGTGAAAATTCACTACCCACTATCTCGCCTTATCGGTCCAAAGTATTTCTAGTAAGAATTCAAACAACCACTGCTAAAAATTTGGGCATCTCTCTGCATCTCCCAGAAGTAAATTTTGCACAGGTTGTAAATGGTACAGATTCCTGCCATCCTTAAGTAGAACTTTTCAAATTTTCGATGTACTCACCCCAAGTTGCCGAGACGTTCTTCATGTATTTATAGCCCAGGATCGTCGTCAAATGCTTTTAAAATTTCATTTCTGTCTTTAATTGCTTCGTCATGATTTTCCAAATATTGTTTTAATCCAAAAAGATGAAAGAGATGAGTGTAAATTGCACTTACTTTTAAGCATAAACATAAATATTCTTGTAATATTATGGTTAGAAGTATCTGCAACAAGGGAATTGTTTTGGTATTAATAACTTGAGAACGGTGAACTTTAGGGAAAAAATTCAAGTTACCTTTTTTACGTATTTTGTGCATTAGAATATAAATCCGTTACAATAGCCTATAAAAAATACAGTGGCGTAGGTTTTTTTAATAAAAAAGGGGGTGACCCTGTCCAGTTGTACACCACTGATTGAACCTTTAGAACTCATATTTTAGGGAATACAAGGCCTATTATCATACATTATCTGTACTAAATTTTATTGAAATCGGTCAATGGATTCCGGAGAAATAAACAAAAAAAATAATTTTTTTTAACAACTTAAAAACCCTGTATCTCTAAAATGGGGCCGTTCCAGACCTATGTTTATAAGGCAAACACCTACTATTTTAAAGAGATCTATCTGTCCTCGAAATTTCCTGCATAAAATTCGGACCACCCTGTATATTTTTACTTTCCAAAAAAAAAATTGAGAAAAATTTTAAGACTATGTTGAAGAGAAACCATTCTACGACCCATGTAAAGTGTGTCCCAAAAGTAACGCAGGATTTGAATTGTGCACCATTTTTAATCCGAAGGGTTGCCATCATTGTGCAAGGTCACATATTATAGTAAACATGTTGCAGTTTGTCAAGATGGAGCACTATATGACGATAAATGAGCGAATAAAGACTGTGAAAATTCATTACAAAAAAGAACGGATCACCAGCATAAAACCCACATCACACTGTCACTATTTAGGTATACAGTGGGTTGTTCTTGAATGACTCGAGTATTGTCTCTGCCCCAAATTCGACAGTTTTGCTTGTTCATATACCCATTAAAATGGAAATGTGCTGTCCACTTGTTGATTCTCCAACATCTAATCAACGAATGTCCATCTCAGTAGTGGTCTGGTTTCAATTTCTGGGTTAACTGAATCTTGAATGGATGCAGATTGCAGATCTTTTGTTAAAATCCACTGCATTGTGCTTTTTGAAATGTTTAATTGCAGTGGCACACTGCAGTTACGGGAATTTCCATTACACTATCACTCAGGGTAGCAATATTTTTTTTATTGTCTGCAACCGACCCTGTTCGTACAAATTTGGCAACTAATGGTTTCACAGTTGTTTCATTCCTTCTATCCAAAATTTCACATAATTTGTGCTCAGTCTCAGCTACATACTCTCTGTACCCAATTGTAATGAATTTTCAGAATCTTCTGTTGCTCATCAGTCATATAGCGCTCCGTTTTGTCTAACTTGTTTACTACAACATGTGACTCTGCACAATGTTGCCAACTCTTCATAAAGGAAATGGCGTACAATTCAAATCCTGTGTTACTTTTGGGCCCCCTTTATATACAAGCTTTTTTTCTTGGAGTAAAATCTTCTATAAATTACTAAAGCAGTACTGGTAAAACCTGACTCTCCCTACATAATATGCATTTAGTAAATTATTCCCATAATTTCAAATTTACTCACCAATGATAAGTTTGCGAGATCTCCTGCTACTGCGATTAACCTTTAAGTAGAAAATATTTCATGTTACATTTCAAATACATATGGGGTTCTAAATTCTTTCTTGATGTTCTTTGTAGACAAAATTGTAGACAAAAAATAAGACAGATACATTTTTAAAGAAAAATGATAAAAGTGATTTTTGTGATACCTTAAAAGAGCTTTGAGATATATTATTTATATTTTTGAGTATTTTAGACTTAAGAATTAGGATACTAATTTATGCAGTATTAGCTGTGTTCAGTGAATGGTCGGACCGGTCATAGTGGTTCAGCAGACAAATAAATATTTCGTTGGTCAGCCCAATCAGCTGATTGGGAATATTGGGCAGGTTTTAATAGTTACTAACAGCCGTTTGGCGAATTGTTTGACCATTCGTTGAACACAGCTATTATTCTAATTCCAAATGTTGTACAAAAGATAGTTTTAGGACATGAATAGCATAATTTCATCCCCATCTCTTTTATTTATATGTAATTATAAAAAACATGAAGGTATAAAGCTAATTCCAACTAACTCAAAACTTTTTTTTTTTAATCTTATCAAATGAAGGCAAACAATAATGTTCTTCGATAACAGAAACTTAAATATGTAAAAGATATCTAACCCCACAGACAAAACTCCTAACTGCTGATCTTGCAGGAAACAACTGCATTATAGGCTACATGCACCAACTAGCATTGAATTACACCAACAATACCTAGTAAACAGCTAGTAATAAATAATTAATTGTTTATAAATAAAAACTAAAAATAATATGTCTAAATATAATTAATATAAAAATACATACCAAACAGCTAGTAATAAATAATTAATTGTTTATAAATAAAAACTAAAAATAATATGTCTAAATATAATTAATATAAAAATACATACCTGATATACTAAAATTGTTAGATAATATAATGTATTAATTGAAACAAATGTCTTGTATTTTTTTTTTCTTTCATCATCCTCGAATGAAAATAAAAAGTTACCTATGTATTAAATATTGATAACCACACCCTACAATTACTCACCCTTATGGATTAAAATAATACTGCATACATTAGTGCCCACATGCCCTAAGCCAAAATTTAAAATGTGTGTAAGATATCTCAAAAAAAATTAAGTAAGGTTATATTTAGATGTTTTAGGATAATGATAGTTTTTACCTGAGCAGAAGCTGTAGCTGATTTTGTTTGACCTAAAAAAATCAAAAGAAACAAACATAAATAGAAACATTAGTGAGCATGTTAAAAATTCTATAAAAAAAAAGTATGTAAAATACAACGGAAATCATTTGATTTATATTATTTAATATAGGTAGATATATTTGTTTAAAATTTACTTGCCTGTAGTAAATCGTTTTAAATTCCTTTTATGGGTTTTACTTCCCAAATGTGCTTTGTAAAATTCTTCCCCTCTAATAGTTCTGTTGCAATACTCGCATTCAAATCTCTCTTCCTCACCTAAAACATAAACATTTAGTATGGCCCTAGTATTTAACAAAATACACATACTTTTGCCAGATTCCTTCTCACGTTCTCTATCTTTTTTACGAAGTTTCTTTCGATGGCCTCGACTTTTAAGGTGGTTCTCAAAATCATTTTTATGTATATCAAAAATTTCACAAAGGTCACAAGTGAGTTTTTCGGCAGCTGTAAATGAAATAATATAATAAAAACTGTATGCTATGTCATACTATATTATACTATAGATATGAAGGATACTAGAAAAAATATCTACTTGTAGGTAGCTACAATAGAAACAATTGACTGTGTTTGTCTATTAACTCAATATTAGTAGTTTACGCTTTGTATTCAATAATACTTTTGTTATCAATCTTTTTCTAATTAATTATACACAATCTTTTTCTACTTGTGTGACAAACTTATTGAAGTTTATTGATTATTTTCTTTCATGGTTTTGCTTAAAAAAACATTGTTTAAAAAAAAATAATTTTATGGGAATGAACTGAGACCAAGCAGAAATTACTCTTATTGAATATAATATCAGATATCTATAGGCTTATAAGTTAATAAATTCATATTTTTCTGGTAGTATAAGATCACTGTAGGTTAGGTGGCATAGAAATGAATACAGAAATAGTTCAGTAATTTGTGGAATACAGATTATGTTGAAAAATAAAATTATCAAAATTGTCTCTTGTTTCAAATGTCAAAGAGAATTTTTTTTGTGCTTCATAAAAAATATTTATAAAGTACCTATGTTTTATTAGGTATAATAAGACGTTTCTTTCAATATATTTGTGAGGTAAAATTGAGAACATTTTAAATTTAATTGATATTTTTGTTGCAAACAACTCAATCAATTATCAATCGTCATCATCATTTAACAGATTACTTTATCTATTTACTAACCTGTCTGATAAATATAGTATCAGATCGAAATCAGAAACGTACCGAAGTTAGTAGACAAGAAAATCAACGTAAAGTTTTGAATATGCAAAAACTAATAACATACTGTAAGTTTGTGATTTTAATTAATTATTATTATATTTCTCCAGCCGCAAATAATAAATCACTTTAAATTTATATGGAACAATGAAAATAATGTGAATGGATACATTTTTCGTTAGAAATAGGTACTTTGATAGTAAACAGTTCGCAATTCATAACTAGATGCTAAGTAAGCATTTATTATTATTAGTAGCTATGTAAATAAACTAACATACAGTCACCAGCAGAATTAACAAAATCCTTTACACTAGAATAACCTGCTTCCATGTTTGTTCTCAATAACTAATTCACATTTTACATAAAGTGATTAAAGTGGTAAGTTATCTAATCAGAATTACTCATATGATAGTAGAGTTTGTTCAGAATGATTACCTATATATGACTATACTTTATTATAAACCCAATTTTTGATACTCGTATAAGGAAAGTAATATAATAATTATACAATGAATACATGTATATAGTTTCTTTTTTTGCTTCATCCTTATATTTACTTGTTTGCCTTCAAGGTCTGACAAGAGAGGCCACGAGGCCACACCCTGTGACCTGTGAGTCACCGATTTGGCCAAATCTGTGTATTTGAAATTTGAAGAGACTACTAGCAAAGAGAATAAACAAATATCCTTTTTGCTACTAGAGAGTCTCTAGTGCAGTATATCCCCAAACTGCTAGGGTGCACAACTTGGAAATAAGGGAGAAATTTCTTTCGAAAGTATTACGCTCACGGCTCACCATGTGTATTATAGATACAAGTTCCAAAAATTCGATTTACTAAAGCTGTCGTGGCGAAATAAACACTGTGTATTTCTTAGCCCTCGACGATTCGGGTCCGAAGTCCGAGACTCTACCCGTGTAGGTACCTATTTATTATGTTTTTCTATCCTCCTTTCTTTATGGAAAATAGTTTGTTTGTCAACATAATTCAACACTGAAATGCCCAGCAATTTGTCAAATGTGCTATGTTTGCACCTGACAAATCAAAATTTTCATTAAAAAAAAATTTAGGAAAATATTATTATATATAGATTGCACAAAAACGCGAAATCTCAAGTGAAGATTCCATACGAACTAATTCATTGATCCATCATCAATAATCAGTAGGTACCAATTTTACAAAAAATAATCAAATACGCGTCGCGATTTGCATCAAAACTTTCTGAAAAGGGATTTTTTTCAAAACGTGAATGAACTATGTCTTGCCTTTGATAAACTAAAAGAACCTTGTGTTTGCTCAAATGTTGCTTTTATTTCTTATAGCAGATGCCAGTTAAATTTATGCTTTGGTCGTTTTTATGATATTAATCACCCAATTGTCCATCGCATATTATTTAAAATTTTCGACAAATAAATATTTTCTGTTAAGAAAAGAAGATAGAAGAACAAAACAAATGCACGGGTATAGTCATATATGTATATACATACATAATACTGTACTAGGGCTTTGGATATCTACACTAGTGACTCTATAGTGTCTAGTGAGTCTCTTTAAGTACACAGATACTTGGCCAAATAAGAAAACCACAGGGTGTGGTTCCTCCTTATCTTTTCACGGATGAATTTAAAAAATGATTAATCAGTTAGAATTTTTTATACAACTGTTTAATAGATAATTAATATATGTACCTACTTATGAATTATATTATTGTAATACATGATTACAAAACGTGAGTATTCAATTAATAAAATAAACAAATCCGTTTTTTTTTATTAAAATGTAAAATTAATGACTATTCATAAATAAAATAAAATTATGGTCCATAAAATATTCAAAGGAAAATTTTTCTCCTGTAGGTCAAAATGGAAGATGAATTATTAGAATTAAAGGTATGCAATGAAAATAATGGGACTGATACCAACAAAACCACTAACCCCCAACTGTTACTGAATGTTGTCCTGAACAACAGAAATGATGAAATTGATTCCACAGTAAAAAAATATTCAAAGGATATACTAAACCACAAATTTACGGACCAAGACAATAAGAACATTATATTAATAGCATGTATAAATGAAAGAGTGACTAAAGACACATTAAATATTTTATGTCAATCCGTGAAAAGTCATTTCTACTACAGCATTGACTGCTTCGATGAAGCCTGGTATAAGTGGGAACCACTGCATTATGTAGCAAGAATCGCTGATCCAGAAAAACTTACAGTATTACTGGACAATGCTGTGACTGTGAACTGTTTGACCACATTTTCAGAGAATGCTCTTCACGTTTTATTAGAATACCAACAATGTGTAAAACCATTTACGACCCTTTTATACAATGGTACCGAATCCAGAGAATGTATAATAGTCAATTCAGAAAAAGAAAACATATTTCAGTGTGCAAAAATACTCATAAATAGAGGCATAGATGTAAATCATAGCAATTTCTGGAATGAGACACCAATTTGTACAGCTGTAAGGTACCGATACATAAGAATTACTGAATTATTACTCACAGTACCCAACATAGATCTTGACAATTACAAGGAGGGAAGACTTACTATTAGAGCTTATTTGAAAGAAAATCATATACGACAAGATACTCTTTCTCAGTCGAATGTTTTATATGAAGATCCTGTTAAAATTCTTTTTGATTATCTCAAATCTGGAGATGAAGAAGCTTTTGTACAATTCAATAATGAAAATATTAAAGATTATGCAAATTCTATAGATGGGGACAGTGAATTTAATACGTCTGGAAATATGCTACAGTACTGCTTTAAAAAGGGTTATTTAGAGTACTTACAGCACGATTCGTATGATGAACCACTAACAACAAGCAGTATAACTGACAATCTAATGTTAGATGTTTTTTATTCCAAGGGCCTAGGAAAATGTATAGAACATTTACTGAATAATGGTGCAGATCCGACAATAAGCTACAGGAAATTTTCTCAACCCCTACTGGAAGCTGCAGCCGTTGTAGGATATTACCCATTCGTAGCAATATTATTACAACATAAAGCATGCAAAATTACATCTGATGACATATTTAAAATTTTACCAAAACTATATAAAGGAAACTGTGAGTTAAAAAATCACGAATTCTACAGAAAATGTGTATTAAGTTTATTACTAACTAAATTACTTGATTTAAAAGGTAACGAAATATTGAGTAGCAAAAAATTAGGTATCTTAAACAGTATTTTACATAAATTAAATTTAGAATGTGATGATGAAAAAGAAGATGATTCTGAGAATATCTGCCGAATTCTGAAACTTGGTGCATCTTTAGCTAAAAAAGTGGAAAAGAAAAAAATGATTATAGAAAAAATTCACCCAGATATATTAAAATTACATTTTGATGACTGTGTTGAAAATAATTTACTTTATTACAACAGTATTATTGAAGATGACAAAGACAGTTATTCTGAAACAAGAACTTTGCATTTTCTAGCTAACAGCTACAAAAAAAGTGAATTATTACGACACCCTTTACTCATTCATTTTATCCACAATAAATGGCTTCGAAATTTTTACTTTTTCTATATTGACTTATTTCTCTATTTCATATTTCTTCTTAGTACTTATGCATACATGGTGTTATCACACAGAAATCATTATAACCAATTTTTAAATTTAGTTTTTTATATATTATTAACCGTACATTTGCTAAAGGAGTGCATTCAATTATTTTTTCTGTACCGGTTCAAGTATTTCATTGATGCCTCAAACTATTTGGAATTGACAGTTATTATATCTTCGATTATTAGTATTCATAATTATAATGAATACAGTGCAGTAATTGCTATATTGTTCTCTACCATCATATTTGTTATGCTGCTCGGACAGGTACCTATATGTGCTAAGTATACAATTATATTTGGTTCGACAAAATATTTTCTACAATATGCTGGTTTTTATTTCATTCAGTTTGTAGCATTTGCATTAGTTTTTTATATAATATTCCCATTTAATACGACTGTCAAACAGACCCCTGACAATAATTTAACAAACACCAATTTTACAAAAGAAGATTTAGGCGACACCTTGGCAGATGTTTTTAAAAACTTATTTTATACACTTATACTATTCACTGGAGAATTTGGTGACAGAGTGTTAGAACCAGATATGTTCCCCGTTTTTGGAAGAGTTATAATGACAGTTTTTATTTTTTGCATGACAATTATTTTGAACAATTTACTTGTTGGATTGATTGTTGCAGATATGGACGAAATGCAGAGAGCCGGAAAATTGTACAAGCAAGTTAAAGTGGCAAATTTTATAGCAAGGATGAATGCCATTGTTAAACGTTTGTATGAATTCAAAACAAACAATTTTATTAAGTATATAATAAACTTTCTCCACATATTCAAAAAGGGGAAAAATAAAATTCTTGATTTGACTAAATGCAAGCACACATCTGTATTTGATGATGAGAATTTGAAATATTTGAAAGCTATTAGAAGTAAAAAAAATACATCGTACAATGTAGACCTCCTAAAAGATGTATACTCTTTAATCCAAGACAAAGGAATGGAATTTCGAAAAAAAATAAAAAATTCTAAAAAGTAATTTCTAAAATCAAATGTATAAAATATTGTAGCGGCCATAGCTTTATTAAGAACAAAAGTTATGTGAAAAAAATTAGTAACGAAGTCAATAATGATAAGCAAAGAGTGATATGTTATTTATTACTAAAGGACCCCGCAACTATCCTTATGGAAAACCGGTCCCAGTCGAATGATACAAAACTTTGCTGAATGATAGTCCTTAATGTGTCGATCAAAAAAGTCCATGGGACCTAGGTCTGAAAAACTACTGTTCTGGAGTTACAGCCTTCTGAAGTTATCCAATCCACGGGCTCGATGACGATCAAGTCCAATGATTTACGGGCGAGTAAAAGCAAATATTTCTTTATAAAGTGGCCAAGCTGGCTGTTTCTTGATGTATTTTCGTGTGCTTCACTTGATGGTCATCGAGCACATGGATTCGAAAATTTCAGAAAGCTGTAGCCTTCAGACACATTGGGGACTATCATTCGGAAAAGTTTTGTGCCATTCGACAGGCAGGATCCTTTTCAAAAAATGTCAGATATTTACTTCTTTGTCTATAAAATAGCTCTCTTCTTCTCTTGTTCTTTGCATTGTAATTTAAGAATTTCCAGCTCCATATGTCTTTTCTATACATTATGTTAAAAATTGTACTTATTTAAATTAATTTGAAATTTTACAACAAATTATCTTTTTTAATATAACTACTGTTTAATAACATCTTTATCTTTTTTCTTTCTCTATGATTCCACCACTACCTGTCTGCATATTATGTCATTAAACCATGGCACCTAATTAAAATTGGAATTAACGTTGCCGATTAAAGATTAATTATTCAATTACAGCCATATCCATATAAGCTTAGCTTGTAGACTTCGTGGCAGTTGTTAAGGGCAAAACAATTTGCAGGTTGCCACGTAGTCCATTTAAACTTCTTGACGTTTCAAGAGACATATGGCTCTCATCTTCAGAAGAAACTCTGAAACTGGAGAAGGCCTCTGATGATGTGGCAAACAACCTGGAAATTGTTCAGCCATACATATACACCTTTCTCTTTCCATCTGAACATACATATCCAGATTTGATAATAATAAATTAAAAAATTGGAAACCATGAAAAAGTAAAACAAATGCTGCATATATATTTTCAAAATTTTTAGGGGCAAATTTCCAGATCACATACGTTATATTAATACACATGGATATAATATAAAAATTCACTATTAACTGCTCATGAATATTAAGAATCATCATTTCTATATCTAATAGACAATGTAGTGCTTACCTATTTACTTATTTCGGGTTCTTTATATTAATTACAGATTTGATTAAACCATTAAGTTCTATTCAAGATGTTGTTTATTCATTTTTCCAATCATATTTACAACTCTCTAGTTCTAGTAGGTACCTTACCTCCATCTCATTAAGACTTTTATATAGACTACCCTGACTACCTACTATTCACAGTTCTTACTCACGATTGTATGGATAGCATTGTTTCAATTACTTCATTCTATTACTTACACCAATCAGTTTTCTTGTCTTTAAATAAAAATACTTTGCACCACTTAATTTATAGTTAGAAAATTCGTTAATAAAGGCAGTTAAAGTTTATGTAAATACATCCTCCATTTCTAACTCCTTGCGGTTTTAATATGTGTATTTATACGTATTTTAAAAAAGCTGTTTTATATTTATCAACTCTTCATTTTCGATGAAATGAATATTTTGTCAAATAAGAATACTATATAATTATATAGTATGGTAAATTATAAATTTGAAAACATAAACATAACCTAGTATATTTACTAGGTTAGGTAAATAAAGTTAGATTAGAATGATGTTTGACAAATAAAATAATACACCCAGAATAACGTGTACAACGGAAGACCGTTGACTCAAAATAGGCCGATTTAGGCTAATAATTCACCTATATCCGAAATCGCTTCGTTTGGCCGCTAGGTGGCCTCAAAATTAGTAATTTTGAATTTTCTAAATAACTCGAATACGTATTAATCGATTTTGATTATTTTTGTCGTGTGAACTTTTGCTTTTAATCTACGCAAATTTTGGTGTTATATAGAGTATTTCTTAAAACTTACAACTCTTACAAAATTGATGTATGGTGATAATATTCCTTCATAACTTTTCTCTTTCAGACAATAATGACAACTATTTTTTATTTGATGGACAATTTAATTATGCACAATTTACACGATGCAATTTGGATGTACATCCAGGATGATTCATCTTCGGTGAAACCGATAGTTAAAAAGGCTGAACTGTTTATCTTGGATGAAATATTGATGAAACGTTATGATGAATTATCCTCGATGTACATCCAAATTGCATCGTGTAAATTCGCCTTTATAGATTTGACAGTAATTTTTTTAATTACTGTTTTACTACAAAAAAAGAGCCAACTTCATAATCAGAAATAGTTTCTTTAAAAATTAATGTCGCCTGATTTGTATCCTAGGTCACGTGACCTAGGGCAAATAGCTGCCGCTTTTGCTGTTCAGTGTTCATGTTGGAACAGCTACAAGGCACATAAAGTCGGTTTGGCTCCATCCATAGTACCTATACTGTCAAACACAAAATGTCAAATCTATGACATATGCAACGGCTTTTGTTTTTATTTACAAATTACAGAAATTATTCGCTGTGCCTCTGCTGTATTCAAGTATTCAAGTTTGGATTATAGTATGTTATGTGTGCATTGATTAACTAGTGGCAATTTAAGTGGAAATGGAATCTTTAGAAAGTTATGTGGTAGGAATATGTCAGAACATGTGCCCCGATGAAGAAATAAAACTGTTAGTAATTAATTCAGTTTTATTAATTTAAATTTAATTTCATTCTTCGACTTTCCACAGACGAGAAAAAGAAAGTCTCCTGCATACTTTGGAAGTAGTGCCAGGAACTGAAAGAGACCGTAAACCAAAAGCTGATAGAAGCCGTATGGTCAAAACATTTTGTCGGTCTGCAGCAGGAAAATCTATGCAAGACCCAAAAAATTTAAGACCGCCAAATATTTTGTTAAAAACATTAAATTACCTTTTAGATGAGTAAGAAGTAAGAGATACTGTTCATTAGATATTACTTAATGTTTTAATTTTAGTATTATATCTAGGAAAGATTTACCTTGGACAGTGATTTATGATTTTGTAATGGATAGGTTAAGGTCAATAAGGCAAGATCTAGTCATTCAGAATTCTTCTAAAGCCTATTGCATCAGTATTCTTCAACCTATAGTAAGATTTCATGCATATGCTTCATATAGGTAATGAATTAAAATATTTTGGGCATATACTTAATCTAACTTATTGGCAGAGCATTAGATGTTAAACTCTTTCAATAAATTTATATTTTTTTTAATGAAAACCATTTCATTGAAATTTCAACTATTAATTATTTAACCTTTGTCTCCATTTTCTTTTTTTTTTTTCTATGTATAAAACCGACAACTAATAATTAAATGTTTTTTTTTTGTTCTATATATTAAAGTGTATGGTTTTCAGACTATGTGAGGAAAACATAAACAGTTTTGATCCAGTTATAAACACAACTCATTTACAAGAGTGCCTAAAAAGACTTTTGTGTATGTATGATTGCTGTGAGGAGATAAGTGGTAAGGATGGCGAAGTATATTCATTTTTAATTGAAAATAGACCACATTTTGAGGCTTTATATTTAGTCTTAAATTTAGGAGATTCTGAAGCAATTATAAGACCTTTAAATTTATCTAAAATATGGAGGTACGTAATAATACTTTGTTTTATTTTGAAAACAATTAAATTTTTATTTAAATTAATAGAACTGACGTGGTAGAAACTGCTTTAGAACTATCCCTTTCATATACAAACAGTAATTTCATCAGAGTTTGTAGACTAATAAAACAGCTTCCAATATTACTTCAGGCTGTGGCAACCCTACACTTACCAAAATTGAGAAGGTTTGTGGCATGTCTACAAATTTTGAACATTAAAAGTTTATGAATACTATTTTAGGACTGTCTTAAAAATTATGTCTGTAGCTTATAGTTCTAAAAACTTAATTTTTCCTGTACATGTTCTAAAAAGTCTATTGTTGTACAATAATGACCGAGATGTATTCAGTGACTGTAAATATTATGGATTAGAAGTTCGAGACAATGGAATTTGTTTTTTAAGGAGTTCGTTCAATGATAATAAGATGGTGAGCACATTTTTGGTATTTTGTTTTATAACTTTTATTCTTTTGAATAAAATGTTTTTTTATATTTCATTGATACTTTCAGCTGCCTCCGTCACATCAAGATTTTGTCGATCAGAAGCTAAATGATGTTAGTGTCTCTACTTTAATTCTGTTTGGAGATGAATGAAAAATGTTTTACGTTTTATATTATTTTGTTGTGTTTATATTTTTTTTATATACCTACTTAAATATATTTACCTTGATTTTTATTTGTTAATTTTTTATTTAGTAATCCTGTTGTGATTGAATAAAGAAATGATACATTTAAAGTAAAGGGTCAACACCTGAAAATATTAGATTCCACTAACTTCATAATCGTTAAAGATATTGGGAAAGTAAAACAGAATTTGTGCGCTAATTTTTCACAAGAAATTAATTTGTTTTGTCATATACAGGATGTAACTTTAAGTGGTGGTCAGTGTTTTAGGGGTAATAGTACTTGTTTCCCAGAATACTAATATGCAAAGAATTTTAATTTTAAGTTGAGTTAATTTGTCATTTTAAAGTGGCTATATATAACTATGAATATTGAGTATTTGTAAAAATTTTTATTGGGATACGCATGTACATACATAATAAATGATAAATAAAAATACTAATCTCATGAATTTTAAACATTTCAAGTTTCTAATAAAAAGTATTTGTTACTATATTTTTAAAGCACTGTGTTTAGTTTGTGAATCTCAGTGTCTTACTCTAATAGGTTAAGTGAATTATCTACAATAATATCAATCCACCTGATGTGATATAACACCGTGTCATTTTATTACGTTTATTGGTTTACAACAGCGGTCGTCAAACTTTTACGACTTGCGGAACCCCGCCAACATTTCGATTTTTTCAAACACATTTTTTACTGATTATCTAATATATTTATAAATATGTACTATGATTAACAAAATAAATATTTCACTAAGTAAAAATAGTAAAGTAAGTAAGACTAAAGTTAAAGTGAATATTTATTGAGTAATTAAAAAAAGAGTGGATGTGCTTGAATATTTTTATATAATATGTTAAAATCAGGTGCTATTATCGTAAGTTGCAATCACATTTCAAATTCTGCATTAAGCGCATTGTGATGCTTTGTTTTTGTCGCTACGTACGTGAAAAATGATTTTTCGAACATGTACGTAGTTGCAGAAGGCAGTAATACATTTATTGCCTGGTCCGCAATTTCAGGATATTCCTTATAAATCTCTAGCCAAAAACCATGGGAAAGGCGACGTAACCAACGTGAAGAACGTTGTGCCACTTATAAGATATAAGCCGACTACTTGCACTTGCATAAGTAGATAAAGCTCTTATAGTAACTTATAAAAATAAAAAGTTTAAGACTATAAATTTTTTGAATTTTGTAATTATCGATAATAAAATTTTAAGTTTTTGAGCCGCGGAATCCCCAGAGAGGTTGTATGGAACCCCAGGGTTCCGTGGAACACAGTTTGAATACCGCTGGTTTACAAAAAGATGTTCCTAATGCGGTAGATAATTCCGCGACTTTCTGACTTAATTTAAGTAAAAAAACAAACGCCCAATGGCAACACTAGAATTTTCAATGTTTTATTACATTCATTTTAAATTTATTAGTGTGCGGGATGTTTGTAATATTAGTAAGTGTTAGCTTTTACTGGAATGGAAATAGAATTTGTATAGTGCAATGTTGTAATTTATTAACTTTAATTTTATATTTATATATTTAGTAAAGTGTCTTGTGTAGTATAAGTTTAACTAAATTATTTGTTTTAGGTTTTAGCGACGATATTGTTTGTCGTTGTGTATAAACAATTTAGGGTGGCCCAAAAAAAACGAATATTTTTTTTTCGTGTCTCTTGTGAAACTATGTTAGTTTATCATGTTTTAAGAGCTCCCTCAAAAAATCAGGTCAAAAAACATTTTTTTAGAGGTCGCTCAAGATTTTTAAAAATTTCCAAAATCGTAAAAAAATTTATTTTTCTCGTTATTTTATTATTTTCTAGGTTGAACAAAATCTCGATTCTGAAAATTTCAAATCTATATTTTAATTTCTAAAGGTCACTCATAATTATTTTAACTTTCAAAGTAGTATGCCTGTTTTTGAGCGACCTCTAAAAAATAAATATCAACGAACTAATCATTTTTTTTATTGAATTTGATGAACAAAAGAATAGAAATAAATCACGACACACTTAAATTTTAAAAATAAAAAATTATAAATAATTTGATAGTGCGGTAGTAAATTTTGCCTCGAGAAATTTTTTAAGTGTCTCATGATTTATTTCTATTCTTTTGTTCATCAAATTCAATAAAAAAAATTATTAGTTCGTTGATAAGTATTTATTTTTAGAGGTCGCTCGAAAACATTTTAGGTACACTACTTTTAAGTTAAAATAATTTAGAAATTAAAATATCGATTTGAAATTTTCAGAATCGAGATTTTTTCAACCTAGAAAATGATAAAATAATGAGAAAAGAAAATCCAATGTTTGCTGATTTTGGAAATTTTAAAAAATCTTGAGGACCTTTAAAAAAATTTTTTTTGAGGGAGCTCTTAAANTTGAGGGGGCTCTTAAAACATGATAAACTAACATATTTTCGCAAGAGACACAAAAAAAAAATTCGTTTTTTTTGGGCCACCCTAATAAACGTATAAAAATCGAGAAATGTGAGATTTGACAACAATGCGTGCCATAGCCCCCAAATGGGTATGCATTCACAGTGGCGTGCGTAGTGTTTTAATTTACCCTAGACCTAGACTATTCAGAGGCGAGCTACAAAAATTACAATAAAAGAAAAACAAATTCAATTTTGAACAGAATTTGAAAAAATAAACTTAGGATATATATTTTTAAAGATCAAAAATAGCTTCCGTATAAATATAACCCTCATTCAAAGTTATCTCCTGTATAATAGAAAAGAATTATTTTTTGAATTGTCTTTCATACAAATTATGGGTATAACCTTTATATTTTTGTTACTTAATTAAACCTGAACACTGAAGATGAAAAGGTTTAATTTTCACTAATAAAGCCGATTGATATAAAGAATAAAATTAAGAACAAATTTTTAAAAGATCATTGTGTCAAATCAACTATCATATCACTGAAAAGTAGGTGAAATTTTATAGGAGTTAAAACATTATCTTACTGTGATTATTTTTGGAAGTTATTAGACAAAAAATGTCAAAATTATATTGAAAATGTCATTAATTATAATGTAGAGCAGTGGAAAAATAAAATAAAAACAATTGAGCAACGCATTTCAGATATATTGATACCCACTCTGTTTTTTGTACATTCTCAGGGTTACAGAGATAGTCTACTTTAATGTCAATATACAGGGTGTTCCTAAATAAGTGTCGCAATGGAAAACTCTATATTTCTCTTGAAAAGAGAAACATTTTTTTCCTCTTCCATTTTTCTCTCCGGGCTTTTGTTTTCGAGATACACGGTGTCAACATTTTTTTTCAGATTTTTGCCAATATCTTAGGAACCGTTTGAACTACAGGACTGAGCTTTTGTACACACATTACCACTATTAATAGCCACTTGTGGCGAATGTTGTTGAATTTCGTTAAATTTGTTAATTATTATTATCTTTTAAATTACAAAAGATTTTCGAAACATTAGCAAAATGTTTGTTTTTGTTCATAAAATGTAATTTTTCTTGAAAAGCAATGAACCAAGAGAACTCTTTTTGTGTAAAATTCATTAGCGCTTCAGATTTTGCTGTCAAATGTCAATTTTTCCAGTGGTGTAAAAGTTAGAGGGGTAAAAACCCTTACGATACCTTAAAATCTCCACCACTCAATGAATTCGAGAAGGGTGCGGAAAAGTAGCTATTAATAGTGGTAATGTGTGTACAAAAACTCAGTCCTGTAGTTCAAACGGTTCCTAAGATATTGGCAAAAAAATTGTTTCTTTTTACAAGAGGAATATACAGTGTTCCATTGCGACACTTATTTAGGAGCACCCTGTATATGACTAAAACAAATTTGCCACGAGCATATTGTATTTGCTTATCTCCGAATATCTTCGGAACTATTCAGAATTTTCCAAATTTAAAAACCGACCTGTGACATGCACAAAATTCTGCACATTTAACCACTTCTGTATCTCTTAAAATAATGAAGATACCTGTATTGGACAATTAAAAAGTTGTAATCCTGTACTTATCCATAGAAAAAGTAATTCATGATTTAGTGGAATTGTTTGCAAGTAAATGAAAATAATTTAGGCTAGTTGAGTAGTTAAAAAGACATTCTCTTTCTTTTGTTCCCCCAAGTGTCAAAATTTACCAAATGTCATGACCAATTCTTGATGATAACAAAAAATGCATTTTTGTCCATGAAATTCTTCAAAAACTATGTCCTGTTGAAATGGCAGTTGCTGCAGGTAAGCAAAGTTATAGGTGACCCCACACTGTAAATGTAATCATTTAGTTGATTGTGCCGCAGAGAGAACTTTTAGGGAAGCGTATGGTTATAAGTATCAAGGAACAGTACCGTCATCACTCCCATCCAAAGTAATTTATTCTACTGCACCAACAGGTGTTGGTTCTGGTGTGGCAGCAGGTACTACCGAATATATTACAATGAATCTTTCACCATCATACGTCCTTAACTCATTGCGGGCTGTCAGGGAACCAATAGTGGACTACCAAGAAGGAAGAGGAGTTTCTAGGAGCGAGTAAGTACTTTTTATTGATCTGAAAGTGATCTGTTTAATGGGACATTAAAATTGACACAGTAATTTACACCTTATGAATTTGTCGAAAATGTTAGGAATATTTTACAAGCTAACACTGAACTTCGGACATTCTTTTGATACATTTAGGATATATTTTAGTATACGTTTGTTTTTAGATCAGTATCATTTTTGGCACTAATAACATCTTTATGTACACATGCATACACGGCAGCTATCACTATTTTAGTGATGTTATGGAATTTGGCCCCTTTGCTCGATGGTTTTGTGTATTTTGCCAGATTTGTGGTTGACAAATTAATCGAGATATTTGAAACAAGGGATAAAAAAGAGAAAATTATGAAAGCAGCTGTGTTTGCGGGTGAAATTATTGTTATTCTGTTTATAATATTCTTAATAATGGGTCTCATTTTTATGCCCGTTTATGTACTGACGGCGAGGATTATAGGTAAAATTTGGGGGATGATTGCTTGGTAGACTATTGTATAATAAACTCTATGATCTATAATTTTTTTTTATTTGTGTTTGATAGAAAATTTACAGTCCACGATGTATTATACTTACACTTTACAATTTATCATCCATTTTACATAATGAATAACAATCACATTTTAAATTATAGATTAAGAAACAACGGAACCCCGAAAAAGCATTTTTTGCTAGTACATACATAAAAAAATACATAAAAAAAATCAACCCTAGAATCAATAAAACACTTAAATCCTAATGATTATTAAAGCAATACGCTACACTCAGTTCCCGGATACTTTGGTAAATTTAATTCATACTTTTCTGCAAGTTTTGGCGGTACAAAACGACCCCCTAAATAGTGATATTTTCCTCGAAATTTTTGTGCACATTTTTTCGGTGCAGTTAGAGATATTAATAGTTCAGGTTTAATACCTCCACCTTCTGGTTCGCCTTGCTCTACATCCCACCCACTTGGAATATCGACACTGCAAAATAAAAAAAAATTGAATTTGATTTGCAATGAAGGTAAAGCCACTATAGAAAAATCGAGAACACGAGTTTTTTCGAGATGGAGCACCACCACTCACAAGCATGCTCCAGGAGTGCTTATTGTAAATTGTGAGAATGTACGCGATAATTAACTATTATACCTAGAGGCGAGATTGAGCCTCAGATCATGCCGAAAAGAAGAGGATGAAGAAAATATCAATATAGAAGGACAATTATATGGTGCAAGCATCTCTCATTGAAGATGTAAATACATATAACGATTTTTTTATGCTGAATGGCAACAACGACTTTGAAAATGTTTTTCAAAAAACCACTGTTTTAACTGCCTGAAACATAACTCAAAAAGTTTTCAATGAATCGATTTCAAATTTTGTACAGAGCTTCACAATAACACAATTCAGGGAACATCGTAGGGGTTTTTCGATTGTTTAATAATTTTCATTGTCATTAACAATTTAATGTAAAATTTTTCATCTTTCAACACTTTTAATTTTCACTGAATCAACAATTATTAATATTTTTTTGATTTCCCTAAGATGTTCTCTAGCTTTTAATTTATATTAGAAAATTTTTGTTTTTTGTTCTAATATCATTTGTCAATAAGTAACATTTCCAAAAATTTAAGTGTATACAGGGTGTTTGGTAAGTCGATGCATTCCTTGCAGGAGGTTATAGTACAAGCGATTTGTGATATATTTCCTTAATATACCAATTCCGAAAACGCTTAGTTTTCAGGATGTTAAAGTTTTAATAAAAAACAAATCCAAATTTATAAATATTGCAATATTTTTATCGTAAAACATGTACTGTTGTTAATTGTCAAAGTTTGTAAAATTTCATTAAAATATTCTGAGCGGTTTCCGCAATATTTATAAAGGACCCCGCACTTTTCTTATGGGAAGTGGGTTTCGGCCAATTTTTTTGAAACTTCGCAGGTTCATAGTTCTTAAAATGTAGATCAAAAGTCCCAATGGGCACAAAGCCCCAATTCCACCCCTTCCCCCTCAAAAACTGCCTCCAAGTAGCGGGGGCGATTTAACTGATTTCTGCATGTAAAACAATTTATTTTTTTAATCAACCCAACAACGACCCCAAACAACCACATTTTTGATTATCAAACTGCCCCACTTGACATCCCACATTTTATATGAAGACTTTAGGGACTACTATTTACCATAAGCCACTAAACTTAGACGGCGGACACTTCCAACGATTTGCAGTGATCATTAACACTTTGATTTTCAAAATAGTCGTGACTGTTTTCATGGCAGCCAAACGGAATATATATATTTTTACAAAATATTGGACGTTGTTAAAGTTTTACGGTTGTCCGTTTATAAGTTGAAGTGTTAAAAATAAAAGTTTGTGATGACAATGATTACAGAACAGATTTTTGTACTAATTCTAAAATAAGGGCATTGTAAATAGAGTCACATTAGAAAAGAACATGAAATCATGTACAAATGATTTGGAAAATGGTGTACCGACAAAAGGGCAGTATACTTTACATAGGATACAAATTTTCTGAAATAGGTACATCACCCCCAATATAACCATATTTTTGGGTCAACTGCTAGGTACCCATTTTAGGAATACAGTCGGTGTATTATTTTCAACAAAATGTATATATATTTTTTTATTCTGTCATAAGGGGTCATCCATAAATTACGTATGGGCATTTTTTCACATTTTCAACTCCCCCCTCCCCCCATGTAAAGAAACCGTAAGATTTTTCATAACCCCCTCCCCCACCTTACGTAATACATTACATGATTCAATTAATTTTTTTTTATAAAAAAAAAGCTTCACAACTTCTAATTATAACATTTATTAATATATTTGTTATATTATAAATACATAATAACATTTATTAACATATTTGTTATATTAGAGGAGAAAAAAATGAATATCGACATTTTTGGTCACGAAAAACCCTCAAATAAAATTTAGCTCTGTCGCAGTTGTCACATTTTAGGTTTAGTTATAGCTATAATTAATGTAGATTATATTATTACGTAAGAATTTCANTATAGTCATTAACGTTATTGAAACTGACAGCTGCTATACAGCTCGTTGAGAAATGAGGTTAAGTTGGTCGCTATAAGCTACTCCCTACGTCCAATGTGTCAGAGCCAACTTCGACCACGTTTTTATTTGAACGCTCGTTATTAGAAAATTTTTGTTTTTTGTTCTAATATCATTTGTCAATAAGAAACATTTCCGGCCATACAGCCCTCTCAATAAAAGGTGTCATCGCTTACCATCACCTACAGCTGCCATTTTAAATCCAAATCGTTTGAAAAAATTCACATAATACCTAAAAACATGTAAAATACAGGCAATTTGTCCTTGGCACTATATCTTGTAACAATTTTTCCCTTAAAATTTCCAAAAATTTAAGTGTATACAGGGTGTTTGGTAAGGCGATGCATTCCTTGCAGGAGGTTATAGTACAAGCGATTTGTGATGTATTTCCTTAATATACCAATTCCGAAAACGCTTAGTCTCTGATCTACAGGATGTTAATGTTTTAATAAAAAAATCCAAATTTATAAATATTGCTGAAACCGCTCAGAATATTTTAATGAAATTTTACAGGCTTACAGGCTAATATTTTATTAATCAAAATTTGAAAACTTGTGAATGCAGTTCAATATATAGATACTATCAGGATATAGTGTAGTACAACTTTTACTGCACTCTTTATTATATTAGTGTACACTAAAGAATCATTGATCATAAAAAATACGATATTAACATACCTGGCGATTGGAACACTTGTCATCTTCATGAGATTTACTACAGGCACAAATGTATCTCGTATAGGCGGCTTAAAACTGAATCCGAACAAAGCATCAACAATTAGTCCGAACTGAGTATCAACAGTGGATTTCTCTGGTAAACACTCTGTAATGGGTATATTCATTGAAGCAACCTGGTGAGTGAGATTATGATATAGTTCTTTATCAGTTCTTTTTGGGTAGTATACTATAGGGTTATACTCGAATAATTTTAAATGCCTTGCACAAACTAAGCCATCTCCGCCATTATTACCAGGTCCGCAACATACGAGTATTGATTTGTCAGCAATCTGTTCCTTAGGATATGATTTGGCTATGGCTGTAGCACAACTTAAACCAGCCAATTCCGTTAATTGATCAACAGAGAATCGGTATTCATTAAACAGTTCTTGGTCTATCTTGATAGCCTCTTCTTGTCCAAGGTATTTCACCATATTACAGAAATTAAACTGACTAAATGACCTGTGGATAAAATTTATTTTAACCTGAAAATTGTTATCAATTAACTAATAGATCGGAAGAAGTTTATTGTTACCTTTTGAGCCAAAATAATAATGTTAATGTTCATAACTTTTAGGGTTATATTTAAATGTCAGTTATCAGGTTATCACAATATAAAAAACTACTGTATTCATGGTTGCATAAATACGGCAAAATATTTACATGGATTTTTTATTTACTTTAAAAAATAGAAACGAAGAAAATTTGCTTACCTGTAGCACTTTTGAATTCGAAGTAAAATGTTAGAATAACAAATATAGTTACTATGCGATATATCTACCGTATTGTGTTGTTTATTTTTGTCTTCTTTATCTTATAATTTCCGGCCTATTTTCAATTCCGATAAAAATTTAATAATGTATATACAATAACAATGGAGTCTGCCACATCCTCAGTTATTAAATTGAAGTAATGTGACACAAAACTTGACTCATATTTTTATTTTTGCAACAAATCGTCATTTAGCTAACAATTAAAAAAAATAAAACTGTAACCATAGAAAAAATAATATTCCATTTTCTATGACTGTAACTTAGTAGACAAGACATTTAATTATCTGTTTGTCTCCATCTATGGTCTATGGTAGAATCTCATAGAATAGAATCACAGCCAAGGATGTGTAGTCCATGATCACAGCATAGAACAAATTACGGAATTATATCCTAGACTCACGGAAAATATATCGTAGTGGATTATACATAGTGCCATATAATATAGAACCTTTTATGTAACCAGTATTTTAGTTTCTAATAGATGGCACAAGCATTCGCATTTAAAATATGACCTAAATGAACTTGAATAATATATCAAGTACTAATCATTCTCAATTTTTTGTATCGTTTTTAATTTTTTCGCTAGCGGGAAATTTAAAATACCTACATGAAAATAAGATTCAAATATGTACTTATATAATATTTGTTTAAAATATTTTAAATGGAATAATTATCAAAGCATTAAATTATAAAATACTACTGAAAAATGTGGATGTAGAATAGTGTTATAAATATAGTCATTACACTCATAACATTTTTTGGATTGCGATGATGGAGCTTGAAACTACTTGTAGGTATACAGGGTAAACTTAAAAAAATGTTGGTGTTTTTGTTGTCTGAAATTTAAATTTTGAAAGATTCTAGACAAAAGTTTTTATTTTGTAATTCCACGAAAGTGAGTGTAATTTTTATAAAGAAGTAAAAAATAAGAATTAGCGTGCCGATTACATTCAAGACTCTTATTTCTTACTTTGCTTAATTTTGTAGTTTGTGCCTAAACTAGTTTTACAATGAACCGAGAAAACATGGTGTATGGTGCAGCCGGAGAAAATGTGCTCGCGGTGACTAGGTTGTACTGGAAACGATGGCTACAACGTCAAATGTGCAAATACAATCCTACAGTGTATTCAGCGGCTGCGAGATACGTGAAGTGTTATTCTTCGAGGAGAAGGACGTGGTCAGTAAGTGAACCTTAATGTTGAAGATGCAGTGTTGGAAAATCTTGACGAAGATCCCACAATTAGTACTTGTACTGCAAGTAGGAACCTCATCTCGTACCGTACATCGCACCTTAAGGCGCCAGCTGTTGCACCCCTATCATCTGCAACCACTTCAATAGATTTTACCCCCGGATTGTGATCAACGAATGCGTTTTTGCAGATGGTTTTTACGGCAATGTGCCAATCAAGTAGACTTTCCTGTTTAAGTTTATGTAACAGATTAGGCGACATTTACCCGTGTTGAAGTGAATTTCCATAATATGCACATATGGGCCGATGAAAATCCTCACGCGATTAGGGAAACTCATTTTCAACATCGGTTCTCGGTAAATGTTTGGGCTGGCATAATAAGCGATGTACTTGTAGGTCCCTATTTCTTTGAAGGACGACTAAATGGACCAACATATGCTGACTTTTTGGAGAACCGGTCGCCTGAATTATTGGACGATGTGGCATTACAAGTTCGGGCACGCATGTTTTATCTTCAGGATGGGACTCTTCCACACAGTACTCGAGAAGTAACGACACTTTTGAATGAAATGTTTTCTCAGCGATGGATTGGATGCTTTGGTTCTGTGCCGTGGCCACCTCGGTCACCCAATCTAACTCCAATGGACTTTTATCTTTGGAGTCACTTGAAGTCATTGTTTACAATACTCCAATTGCTACGGTGGAAGAATTGCGAAACCGTTGAAGCTGCTGACACAATTAGAGGAAAATATTCGCCAAAATTGTGTGCGTCGGAGCCATGCCTGTATCCGCGCTAATGGGGATCAATTTCAACATTTTTTCTAGAAATGGTAAGTTTTATTTAAATATCTATTTTTATTAGTTTGTACTTTTGCATTGAAAAATTCCCCAGAAATTGAGAAGTATCTTTCTATCTTTCAACGACGATTTGTTTACGCGGCTGGTCTACAGCACGTAACTCATCGTAGAGCACACGGGGAAGACCGTTCCAGAGAAAATATTTTCATCCATAATTGAACTATAATTTACGAAAAAAAAAACGCAAAAATAGAACTTTTTCGTATAAGACTTTTCTATTAAAAATATTGTTAGTTTAATTTTTATAGATTATACATGCCACACCCTGTATAAAAATAAGTGCAAAAAACAGGCACCTTAATATTTTTGTACTTATTTACAGGGAAAACGGTATGTCTGTGTTTGAATATTATGTCTTTATTCTTATTTACATTCCGTAGGTATATTAAAATATAAAAAGCTAAAGCAAATAAAAGTTAAAACCCGAGTTAACACAGTAATACAAACGATTCCTTGTTGATACATATTAAAATATATTTATTTTAGTTGTAATAATGTTTTCCTAGTCAAAACAAATTTTTCTGCTCTAATAATATACCATATTAATCATAATTCTAAACATATTGAAATAAAATATCTAACATCCATTTTGATTTAAAAAATATATCGGCATATAAAATTGATTTGGAGGAATATCTATAAAATTCAATGGCGTTTCAAAAATATGTGTTCAATATCTGACAATAGTACCCATTCAATTCCCCAACGAAATTCAACATTCTGTTAGAAATAATACACGATATGAATTAAACAATAACCCTCAATTCTATTTTGTATGTGCCTTTGGGAGAACCCTCTCATAATATGGATGAGTTTAATAATGGCGATCTCCAGCCTCTACATTGTTCACCTCGCCTAATTCCCTAAATAGAATTTATACGAGTTCCCATAGATAGAGGAGAAGTAAATTAATTTAAAATTGGATAGTGCGGGATACCTCTCAAATTACTGAACCGATCAGGACCTTTTGTAAATTTAAAATTACTGCCATATTTACATTTTTCATTTATAGAAAAATCATTATAAACTTAAATAATGTTAATAATTTTTGTTAACTTTCGTAAAAGTTTTGTTTCTTACATTTCTAAGCCTCTTAGGAAGCCTCTTACTAAGTTCTATGTAGCGCACTGTTAGCTTATAGTAGCCTGATAAATTATTAAGGCACCTAAATTTTCCTCTTTGGCAAAGAAAAGGTAAAGTTCTCGCATGTTTTGCTTTTAGAAAGCAACGCTGTTGCTCCTTTAGTTATCCATATTTTATTTAAACTGCGACATAAACTGAAACTAAATTTACGTATTTTCCTTGCGGCAAGATGTTTTATAACAGTTTTACACAAATATAAATTCGGAGCCAAAGTAAAAAGCATCTTTATCAGAAAATTCATCTAGATGAATCAAATGAAAAATAAATTCAAGGTTGGCTTTGGATATTTTGTAGCCATAGATGAAAAAGATAGGTAGATATTTGTTTTGCAGTAGGTAGTTCGAGGATATGCACCTTTTAACAGAACCGGACTCAGTTTCCTAATGTAAATGTTGTACATATTCACAGAAAATATGTTGCAACGCATATGAACACTAAATAGTAACATATTTTGAGAGTGGGTGAGATATAACCTGAAATGTATGTCATTCTTAAACGTAATTGCTACTCGATGTCTACTGGCAGAGAGTAGCAATCTGTACTGTACTCTACTAATCTGTATGTTTTAAGAAAGTATAACTAGTGTTGTACTAGGTGAAATAAGCTTTTCATCTAATGATATTGTGGAAAATAACTACTCTACAGGCGACATACTCTGAACAGCGTTAAATTACACTTTCAATATCTAAATATGAAGAATGATCTCGAATCCTACTTACTATTTTCTCTATAATTTTTGCGCCCCACGCTAATATCTCCGACAGTTTAGGTTCTAGCGAGAAATGATTTTTAAAAGTGGTAGGGTTTGGTGGGGGAAAACTGTTATTGACCTTGAGGACACCGGTCAAGGCCGGTCAGGGTCAGCTTCAAATTTTGATATAGAAACCCCTATATTTGACCCCGGAATTAAATAAAGCGGAAATTTTACGTTCAGGTGATGTCTTTTGTCATGGGTCAAAATGGCCCCGTACGGTCATTCTGAGGTCAACATTACCTTTTGCACAATATTCAAGCCAGTAGCTCTAGCGAGGTTGTTTCTATCGAAAAATAACCTCTTTAAAATTTGTAGGGTATAATAGGGGCTAATTGGTACTGACCTTAAATTTTGGCGATTTAGAACATCTTTGGGGCAATTTGGAACAATATTTGGGGCACTGTTGACCTCAGAATGTCATTATGAGGTCATTTTGACCCATTGACCATCTAAACGTAAAATTCAATTCAAAAATAGGGGATCCTATTGAAAATTTGAAGTTAATCTCTTGATCGGTAACCTCTAGGTCAAATTTAGTGTAGCAACAATTTTCCCGGCCCCATCACACCCTACAACTTTTGTGTAGGTCATTTTTCACTAGAACCTAAACTGTCGGAGATATTAGCGTGGATCGATTAAAATGGGCTTTTAAAATTATTTGTAGTCCTGTCTCATCGATCGAACAAAAACATCCCTTCTACCAGTTGCTTTACTTCTTTACTTTCTCATTTACTACTTTTTATATACACTTTAACAGTCTTGGGAATTAAACCATCTCAGGCCAGGATTCAAAACTTCCTGCATATAAAGAGTTAAACAAAACTTTGTTAGGTGACAAGAGTTTGCATTTTAAATTAGATTTTTCTTTCAACGCATAAGGCCAGTGTCATTC